AAATCTCTTCAGTTATCGATCATCCTCACAAAATATATATGAGGAAAGAAATTGATCAATAACAGTGCTCAAAAATGAAAATGAGATCAAACTCTTCGGGATAAATTAACTGGACTCAGTATTTTAGTGGATTTATATTGAGCAATTGAAACAAAATAAACATCAATAGAATACCAACAATGGAATCAGAGTCCATTAAGATGATTATTTTCAAATATAAAGCAAAAAGCGTTTTTGGCCCTCCACTATTAGTTACTATTTAACTTCACGTTGAAACAATTAAAAATCCTATTCAATATCAAGTTATATTAAAATGAGTAAACGACATAATTTCTAGTACATTATTTAAAATACCAATATACAACAAAAAGAAAACCCAGCAACAACTGAAGAATAAATAAAGTTAAAAAAATATTATTCAATAGACAAAAAAGAGCATTATTGTATACAAACAATACTGTCTACTAATCATTTAAGTAGTACAATCAATCCTATTGTCATTTTAAAAACAAAAATATTCTAGAGAGAAAAAAATTTGTTAGAAAATAAAGTATATAATAAATTATAAACTGCAAACTATTCGCAGTCAAATAATATGCATATTGGGTGTGGGGGGAGGGTTTTTTATTATTATTAAGGTAAACATTGACAATCACTATGGTAACTTTTAAGGTCAATAGATTTTGTGATAATTTATCTAAATAGAAAAAAAAATTAGCTACAAAATAATTTATCAATTAATTATTACATAAAATATTATAAGAACACAAAAATATTGTAGTTGAATACTTTACTAAGACAATTTGACTAAAAAATTTGTTTCATTTAAACACTGTTTTTGTTTAACAAAATAGATTCTATGAAAGATTCATTGGGAAATGATTATCCATATAATAGAATTACTTTGGTGGAGTTTTGTTCTCTGAGCTGGATGGTTTGGTCGACCAAACCATCCAGCTCAGAGAACAAAACTCCACCAAAATCATCCACCTGAGCTACAAATCTTCTCCACCATCTCAATAGAATTACTTTAATCTTAGTTAGCGATATTATGAATCAAATTTTGAGTTGTTCAATACTTTATATGAGAAAAAAAGATTTACATTGATTTTATAACCAATTTGAAATGTTGTTCAGAAAAATTGATGATATAATAGAATCTACTCACAAGGATATTTGTAAGTAGTGAGTAGAGGAATGTGGTGTTGAAGCTGAAACGATTGTTGGACAGAGTGAAGTGTTTCCTGGCCTCAAAGGTACACCTTTGACAGAATACATGGAAGCCAGTTGAGAAAAGAGTTCAGATTGGAAAATACATTGGAATATGCAAATGAACGATTAAAGGATTTGTCTATGTACTATGTAACTGTTCCGTAACCTACCTACCGCTTGTCTACTGCTATGTTATAAAATGGCTATATAGATGAAAAACTTTTCCATAGTCTAGACTAGTTGATAATTAAATGACAGTGAATTAATCACGTCAAATGATATTCAAAAGTTTACGAAAATCAGTTGCATACAATAGCATTTCTCAAGCTATCAGTGTTTGGAGCCTGAAAACCATTATCGAGTAAGATGTTGCAATCACCGTTGGGGTTATGGATGGACACTCTTGTGAAGCCACAATGTAAGAAAATACAAACTTTCGGTTCATCCTCATGTTCGACAGCACCTCAGCTGAGAGCAGTGTGTCGAAAACACCACCTTTATATAATTCAATAAAAGATTAGCTATCCGGCTAATTATTGTTCACAAACTAACACGAGTATCAAAACTTCCACCTCACTTACTAATTATCAAACCTTCTAAACACCGGATTTCAATGTAGTGTTCTTTTCATTGTGCGGGAATAAATTAGTGCGCACAAGAATGTATTTAGATGACATAAAAACTTATACTAACATATACAACTTCAAATTAACCACTTTTTCATTAATAAATAGCATAGATAATTATTTCTATTGAAACCCATGACTTCGGCGTTCAACAAGCCGAGAAAAAAGAATTGTGGCTGCGGATGTGCAAGACGTCGAAAACTAAGATGAAATACATGTCTAGTAAGACCCTAGGTTTGGACAATTTGTCTATCAACTACTTTCAAATGTTTAACCGCAGATAACGACTGTAGTAAAACAAAAATATACACAATTACTCAAAAAATGTATCGTTGGAAATACTTTTTGTTACAGTGTATACTAAAAACACGCAAATCAAAGCTAAACACTCAAATGCCCTAGTACAATCGAGGGTAAGGAGAGTCCGATCTCCCTCTCGAAACGCTCTCACATGGCCACGCGTATACAGCCACTAACAGGAAAGCCCTACTCACGGCGGGGGTGTTGTTTACGAAATTTAAAGGATGAAAAGCGAATATCCGTAGCTTTATCCGGGATGGCGGGCATGAAGGGTCCACCTAAAGGACTGGGAAAAACTGATTCCAAACCATTGGTGCACGTGGTCTCCAATATCTTAAAGGAATGAGCCAATTATTGGTCACCGACTACCATGGGACAGCATCTCCTGACGTTGCTCCACTACCTTCCGGATCAGACCTTTAGATCAAAAGTTAAATTTTAATCCCGGAAATTGTTTAAATACTATTTTCAAATTCAACGAATGCGCACATGAGATATAAGTGAGCATTCACAGAAATAAATCGTTTGATTTTAGAATAATTCGATGAAAAAGTATGGAAAGAATCAGTCAACAACTCAATGATTATCCCTTTCCTCATTTATTATTTGGTCTTGATAAGTGTCGCAGTGGCTGTTGAATGAATATCTTGGTGTTTCCTGTATCGACAAAACGGTTATTGTTTCTCTAGATGGCCAACAGTGACAGTGAAATGTTGCGCTTTCATATAGTTCAGGCATGTAAACTGGGTGTATTCGTAATTGCAGGTCAGGTCAAGCCGGACTAAATTTCAGTCTATCGATCAATTTAACACTATCCAATACTTTACACACTAGGCTTTCGTCAGAAACCACATAGCATAGTTCCAAGTTGCATTGACAGTTTCATTTTCACCAAATAATCTACAGATTTAAGATTACTCAACCTATTAATCTGACCTGATTGTATATTCATTTCCCAACAACGTTGTTTGATTTATGTTCGTCTAATTGAGTATTTTTTACGTTTGCAGTCTTCTTCGCTTCCGAACTTGAGGGAATTCGTCTTGCAAATGGTAGACATTGAGAAAACAATGGATTTGTGCAAACTCATTCGAATCCACAGCTTTCATCATGACTTGACATCACCTACAGTATGAGGATTTTGTGTCGTCCTACCTAATTTTCAATGGTACTCTGATTTATATATAATCTAAGAGCTGTCGCATCCCATTCATTCACAACAATAGTGTCTATGACCTCATTGACTCAAATGTACATCGGCGCATTTGCTGAATATTATACTCATAGCTTCTGATGAACGAAATAGTGTCCGGCTGTCAATTTCATGATATAAAAAGCGACGAACCTCATGAAAATCCAAGTTCGAAAAATAAATGCTATTTCAGTCATCTAAACGTTCTTAGACCACAACAAAAAGTCACATACTAGCGCAGTTACTGAGACTAGTAATTAATGATAGTTTCATAAATTCTGCGTGATTTATTCGCATGCAAGTGTGCCGTGTTGGTCTCGAATTATTGACAGTGTAATCACTAATGATATCAAATATCTCACACACACTCTTTATGTAATTTATAAAAATAATTAGGGTTATCTGAAACAAACTTAGACAGTACCTATAACTTCGAATCCATAATAGTTCAATAACATTTACGCATATCATTATAGTAACTAAAACTAAATTCCGTTCACGAACCATTTAAGTTAATAACCCCTCTATTACGAAATTGCAGATATAGTCTCTCATCAACCTAGCAATAAGGAGTTTCATAAGTCTTTGCGTTTTGATAGTGTATTGAGAAAGCTATATGTTGAGACGAACTGATTTGTAAATATTGAGTAAAGCAAATATATTTAATATGATTACCATACTACTTAAACTTTGAGAGTAGCTAAAACCATTAACTGAAATTGCATGACATATTTTGAAAGAACCATTTCAACACATAATCTGAGTTATTATGAATCCCCCTCACTCAAGTAAAATATAATGTCTCAACAAAAAAGCAAACCTCATCGTCAATGACAGGAAGCTGGGACATTCTGTGTAGCTGGAACATCGTAATTTTACTGACACAGTAACCAATCATGACATGCATTTACTCTGATTAGTCAGTCAATCAAGAACGTAAAACATGATTCAAAGAGAAGAGATAATGAATCTTCAGATCTTAACTGAGTAGTCATAATGTATTGTTTACACAGGCTAACATTACAATCAAGCAGTCCACAATTAAATTAACTAATAACATTTGAGCTTTTTAAAAAAATTATGTCGCTACTTTTTCCTGTATTTACATACGCACATGACTAACCCGAACATTTAAAAAGAGTAGTGTATATAAAAAGATTTACACGAATTACAGGGGAAGGTGGAACTACCAAAACCACAAGTTCCCAAAATTAATTTTTTTTAGGTGGATACCATTCTGGCACATCAGAAACAAAACTTGTCATTGACTTGTTAAAGAGTGAAACAATACAATACTTACAATAAATTCTAACTACTGTGAAAACGGTTCGTAAAATAGATATCACGATGTTTTTGATAAGTACTGCAAGACAAATGAAAGCTTTATCACTAAGACGACTTACTATGTGTTATGCATTCTAGTGCACACAATGACGTATACATGTAATCCTTTTAGTAAACGCACTTGTTATATATGTGGAGAAACGAAAAACGACTTTCCGCAGGTTTATTTTTTAATCAAAATAAGAAGTCGTAAAGCAGAAAAAAATATTTGCATACAATGCGATTGCGAACTCGAGAATTATTCAAAGATAATAGAGAACACATTGTTAACGATACAATCAATCTTACACAAATAGATAAGCATAATTCTGATAACGATAACAGGAGCTAGGGTACTTGGACAACGAGAACGAACAACCAACTTACTCTACATATTATAATCTAAATAAGATTATTAAAAAAGAACGATCGACTAAAAAGCAACTGAGCTATCTATTCATTATTATACAAGTACACATTCCAACTAATTCCGATCATTTAGGTTGTGTGTTTTTTGTTAATTTTTCAAGACGCGATGACATATAACATACTTACTGCCTATTTACAGTAAGGCTGAAAAAACTTGCGATCAATAAAAAAGGATACAAAGTGACGGAGTAAAAAGTTCAATTGAATATACTAGTTATACTCGTTTTTACAAATAAGTATATAGAGATAAATCGAAACACAAATGATACGAACGTAACATAACACGAAAGAAAATAATCGAGCACAGAAAAAAAAAACAGAAGACAATAGTAAAGAAATTTTATTTACAAAATTACATACAAATTAGTAATTTTAAAAAAAAGCAAACCAAGACACTTGAAATTAGCAAGTTTTTGTCTTTGGGAAAGGAAAAACGAAACGAAACAAAAAAAGAAAGAAAGCATGAACCATAATTTTCTGGTTTTGAATTGAACAAGAAATGCACTTAGAAAATATAAACAATACATATGTATATAATAATTGCAATAAACTAAATAGATATATACACTGTACACTTCAATTTACCAAATTTAAAAATAAAAGAAGCATAAATGACTTTTTTTTTAGAATAAAAAAAAGGAGAGAAAAATTTTTTTATAGAAAACATTGTTGTATCCTCCTAAGTTACTAATCGTTATATATACGTTGTTATATTTATGATGAATAAATGAAAAATGGAACAGATAAATTTAGTTAAAATTAAGTAAACAAATGAAAAGAAGCGATTCCTAATTTTTTTTAAGAAAAAAAAAGGGTTGCAAAATCTAATCAATTATGATAAATAAATTAAAAGGTAATTATATTTATATGTATATAACTGCTTGGTAAATTCAACAGATTTGATCAACTTTTGGATAAAAAGAAACTATGACAATTTTAAAAGATGGAAGAAGTTTTTTTTAAAAAAAAATATGTACAAAAGATACAGACTACAAATTTCCTGAGTATGTTGACTTTCGTTTTCTTAGGAATATTAGATGAATACCTGCCAAATATATATTAAGAAAAAGTAAAAAAATAAATGACGGAATTAAGGAAAAGCGATCAACTATGCCAAGACAAATTATATATATATATATATATATATATATATATATATATATATATATATATATATATATATTAATGTTTTTATTTTCTGAACTGGATGGTTTGGTCGTGGAGCTTTCATCGTTCTTCTGCACGACATCATCAGTACAAACTTCAGATATATATATATATATGACAAGTTTATGAAATCATTTCTTAATTATTTTGAAGTAGAAAGTTGTGAACACATGATTTGATATAATTTAGAAAATTTATTTCAAAAGTATTCAGCAACGACTTCATATCAGATTTAATTATAAACTTTAGTGTTCAGATATAGGGAACATCAAGGCAGTTTTAGATAATACGTTGAAATACAATAGTTTGATAGCAATCAATTCACATTCATCGTTCTATGTTAACAGTAAATAACCAAATCACGATTCAATTTATTATGTGAGTTATAATTTCGCAATGAAAATAAGTAGAAAACTTTGTACCATCTGCAAATGCGTAAGCGTACACTGTAGAAAACTTCTTAACTAAAACCCTCATAAATAGACCTTCATTTGCAGTTGATTTTTAAACAGTTCTCTAATTGACATCAATCTACGATGAATCATGAGGTCACAAGTTGGAGTGTTCAAATTTCAGCTACTAAATCACAGGATCGACACCCCGTTTCAACAATTAACATCTATAATCAACCCTGATACTTGGAGAGTAGTTCGAAGTCTGTACCCGGTAAATGAGTTACAAAAAGTAATAATCCACAATGGAACTAACTGAATAGGTTTGAAAGTTATGTTTAATCCAGTCCATTAGAGGAGTTTAGAAATATCAGAAGTAAAAATCAGCTATTTTAAGTTACAATGTTTTCAAACTTTCATAATGAACAACACAATTGATCAGTAAATATTGCAAAATACAGGTGTTAACACAGAATAAGTGATTTGATATAATCTAATGGAACTATTCTAAGATGTAAATTTATCTCAACCTATGATTGACAATTAAGAAAAAGAACACTAACTTATTTTCAATAACTCTATTTATTTCAATTTTATGAAGTTCTGCTTCAGGCTTATTATTTTAATGAAACGGCGAAATTGAATATCATAATATTACACGATGTATATTCCAGATTCCGTATGTTTGTAAATAAAATTGTCTATGAAATCTATCCTGAGTGATCAACCAATTTACTAAAAACAAATTTGTGTACTTCAATTTCAGTCGCACTCTAAGTGTGAGAGCTAGCGAAACTAGCCGCTTGGGTAAACCGAGATAGAAGAGTTCGAACCCACGATTTAATAGCTGAGACAACACTCTAAGTATCCCTCGACATGCAAACAAATTGTTCCAGTGAACATTTCAAAAATTTGTGTGTATTAAATAACTAAAATTATTCATGAATAATGATATTCAGAGGCAATCGAACATTAAATTTTAAGGAGAAAAACAACCTGTTCATCTACCTGAAAACAACTGAATTAGAAAAGAAACGTAAAAAACATTTCTTTCCAGATTGAAACTTGATTGAAATTAGTAAACCTGAGGAGAATAATAAAGAAGAACGACACGAAACTGTGATGATAACAATTATTGATATGATGTCTATTACGATTTGGATAAAGAAAGATTGAAGTTCTGTTGTGAATTACTGGTACAAGGAATTGAACAATGATTACGATGACAATAATGATTGATTGATTGACTCAAGCCGAAATATTTCACGTTTTTTTCTGAACTGGAAATTTGTTTTAAAGAAAGGAAATCCGTGTTAACTTTCAAAAATAAACAGATGGCATTATATATATATATATATATATATATATATATATATATATATATATATATATATATATATATTCAATAAATATCAACGTTGAAGAAAAAAGCTACGAAGACAAAACCTTTAAAAAAATCGTTTCTTAGGCGTTTCAAATCTCGTTGAGGAAAACTAGGACTCATTGTATGGAACATAATTTAGAGCTATGTAGATTATATTCGTATCTCCGCCTGTAGCTCTTCTAGATTTACTGCTGGCCCCAAGACCGGGTAAAGTACGAGGGTTGGTCAAGGGGTCAGCAACCCTATCCCGTACAAAAAAAGTTCGAAATGGTCATTAGTGTTTTACAGACTTTAAAAATCGTAGTTATTTATCAGAAACATTTTATGTTTTGCAAACATGTTTAAGCTATTAGCTTACATATTTTGGTTTAAAAGAACGACCTTCCATAAAAAAATTATACGTAAACGAAATAGCATCATAATTTTTATAAAACCATTTAAACTGTGTCCTCCGAGCTCAAGGGAGAATTATGCCTCATGGTGAGAGACAAAATTCTTCAGAAGTCAAGACGTCGATGCCCCTTTTAACAACCAGGGGAACCATTTTTCTGGGAACATGGAACGCCCGAACAATGTGGGACGCCGAAAGGATCAGTCAAATAGCTACAGAAATGGGGAGATACAACTTGACGGTTCTCGGAAACATTCAAGCCCAATGGATACAAGTTGGAAGGAAAAGGTGATATACGGAAAGATGCTGCTTTACGCCGGTCATAAAAAAAGCAATGTTCCACACAATCAGGCAGTTGCTCTAATGCTCTCCGAAGAAGCACGAAATGAAGTCACCGGATGGGAATCTTACGGATCCAGAACCATCAAAGCATCCTTCAAAACAAAGGAGGGAATCACGATGAATGTAATGAACCCACTGATGATAGCAAAATCGACAATAAAAGTCAGTTCTACTCGAGAGTGCAATCAATCATAGAGAAGTTCCCAAAAAAGGATCTCGCCATCCTGATGGGAGACCTGAACGCCAAAGTCGGAATGGACAAAACGGGGTGTGAAGATATCATGGGACGACATGGACTGGGGACTGAGAAAAACGAATGAGAACAGTGACAGATTTACAAGTTTCTGTGCAGTCAACAAATTGGTCATAGGTGGCACAATATTCCTACACAAACTCACACGGAGTATCAAGTCGATCATATGTGCACCACCTGAAAATTCAGAAGCTCAATGGAAGATTTGAGAACCAGGAGAGGAGCTGACATAATTTCAGATCATCACCTGCTTGTGGCCAAGATGAAACTGAAGCTAAAGAAACAATGGACAGCTAGAGAAACAGTAGTACAAATGTTCAATACAACCTTCTTTCGAGATACTATCTAACTCAACGAATTCAAGATAAATCTCAACAACAGATTCCAAGCCTTACAGGATCTACTCAAGGAAGAGAAAACTACTGGTTAGTACAAGTGGAAAGGAATCAAAGAAATACTATGTTCAACGTATCACGAGGTGCCGGGCCTCAAGAAGCATCACCGTAAGCAATAAATCTCTATTAAAACCCCGGAGAAGATTTAACAAGGGAAGAACAAGAAGACAGCAACTAAAAACAGCTTAACAAGAACAGAGAAAGCCAAGACGCAGGCCAAATACAGAGAAAAAACAAGCACTTAAAGAGGAGCGTTAGAGCTGACAAGCAGAAATACGTGGAAGAACTAGCAACGACAGTGGAAAAAGCTGCAACAGAAGGAAATACGAGACGGCTATATGACACAACAGAGAAACTAGCAGGGAAATATATTAAACATGAGACCGGTCAAGGATAGAGAAGACAAGACAATCACCGAGATCCAAGAACAGAGGAACAGATGGGCAGAATACTTTGAGGAACTATTGAATAGGACAACTCCATTGAATCAACCGGACATTGATGCAGCACACACAAACCTTCCCACAGATGTCGCTCCATCAACGATCGAATAAATCAATTGTGGACAAACCAGGTCCCAGCTGAAGAGGAAATTAAGAGAAGACGTTGGAAATGGATAGGACACACATTGAGGAAATCACCGAACCGTATCACGAGGCAAGCCCTAACTTGGAATCGTGAAGGGAAACGGAAAAGAGGAAGGCCGAAGAACACATTGCGCTGGATTGGAAGCAGGCATGAAAACGACTGCCCAGGACAGGCTTAGATGGAGAATGCTGGTGGGTCAATAAATAATAGTTCTGATGTCTCTAATCACTTACCAACCTCTGATATTATTAGGTTGACTGTTTTCCCTTTTACTTTGTAATTCTTGTTGTGTTTCACAGTCATATTTCTTGTCATGTGAATAAAGCTGTTCTATCGTAGCTTTGACATTTTAAATATCAAGCTTATCCCTGAGTCACCGATCTCTTGGTCTTCAATCGCACAGGAGATTATCATTGAAATGTTGTTTATTAACTAGTCGGTCTACCTAGTTCGCTTGAAACATCCTGTATTCCCGGAATCAAATTACTACAAGCTATCGCAAAAAAGTACAACTAAAAGCTAGAAAGCACTAGACGGTTATTTAATTTTGATATGAGTATTCCTTAGTAGTGCATACCCACGACAGATTTACAGATTGGACCAATAATATTTAAGTACTTAAGTGGACATGTTACTTTTCAACCACTTAGTTATAATCAAATGATCTGCATATCCAACCTTAATTGGCTGAGGGTATAAAGCGAATTATTCTACTAAGTTTCTGCCGACTATAGAACAACAGCAAAAAACAGAAGAAATGAGAACTGGCAAACTTAACACTGATCACTTACTTGTTATTATAGCTAGTAATCATTGCAGGGTGAATAAATAATGATGAAAGTGATTGTTGCGGTTGAGTGAAATTACATGAATTTGAACGAGGATGACGACGTCTAGTGTGAAGAACCATATTAGGACATGGGTGATTATCGTACATGTTTGTTATATAGTTGTTACTATAATTATGATTATTACTACTATTATTATCATCATGCACTTCATTCACATTGACAATATCCGGAGATGGTGGAGTGAGTAGACCAGGATCATAATTTGGTATAGTTGATGTAAACATAATATTCGATGGATATTGTTGACGATGATAATTTTCATTCATCATCATATGGTCCACATTGACAAATATATTCGATGAACAAGAATTATCACATGAATTACAATGATTCTGACAATGATAACAATGAGTTGGATTAGAATGTGTATCAATTTGTTGATGCATTGATTGGTATTTTTCATTATTATTAGTACATAAATTAAATTCTCTATTAGGAACTACAATAATTGGATTTGTTCCATCAGCATTACTATTTACATGAACATTATTATTAATTGCATCAATATGATGTGAAGAATAAGATACAATGGGATTCTGATGTGAATACGAACAGAATTCAGTAGAATGAGGATATTCAGATAGATTGGTTATTGGATTTTTGTCACAAGGTAAAATAGATTCATCATCTGTAGTTAAATAAATAATTTCAGAAAAAAATAAGCGAAAGTTCGAATTTCCCAGAAAATAATATCGGGAAACATGAATGAACATAATGTTAATCGACTATTAAATGGTTATTGAATGAAAGAATAAATAAATGTACAACAAAAAATCTATCTAAATAGTAATAATGGTGAAGTTTACATTTAAGCTAATTTATACTACACAAAACATTAAACTGTTTTATACTTTTCTTGAAAGAATATAAACAAGATATTTGATTTTGGTGAATAAAGTAATTTAACTCTTCAGATTATATACGTAAGTAATGATTTGTATCGCACTTCACTCAGTTATTAACTTAACTTCACTAAAGATATATAAACTTAAATGATCTCTGATGCTGATAAAACCTAAAGACTAGTTCTATGATTCTTCATTAATTGGATTAAATAAGAAATTGATGATTAGAGGCTTTAATCTATATGGCTCAGAATCGTTCACAATTGTGTATCTGATTTTATTCTTTGTGTTCTTTTAGAACCTGATTCCCGAAATCCTTTTATACTTTCTTTTTCTTTCTATACCAACTCGTTGCAACTTCTACTACTCGGATTTGTTTTGATAATTTTATAGCGTTGTGCTTATGTGGTAAGACAATTTAATTCTATGCAGATGTATTATGTTCTGAGTTGCATGTGACTAACTTGATCGGATCAAAATGATTCTTTTTGTTATCTTACATATTGTTCTTATTGATACTCATATATTATATTAATTTCGCATGCTCAACAATATTTGTAACAATCTGCTAATAAGATTATGAAGAGAAACAGTTTATGAACTTATCAAGTTTAAGAATAAGATAACAGATATAAAACGTGGAGTATTAGAAATCCAAATAAGTCATGCGTAATATTAAAAAATACTGTCGACAAAGACTTAGTGTAAGGTTAATCACTAACGGATGATTTTATTCGAAACATAAACGACTAGACAGAAAAATCATTAGACCATTTTAATATGACTGTATCATTATAATATGAAGATGTAAATTTAGTAGTTTCTGTCCAGTAGAAGGTTTCGAGTGGTGAAAGCACTGAAAACTTCAATAACTAAGTTGTTAACGAAATTAAAAATATATGATATCTGTTCTGGTTAAAGCAGTTGAATAGTATTGTCATTATTAGTGCTTATTAGATAAGTAGTAACGTGTTCTACGTTTACGGACACTTATTCTCACTGAGACAAATCGTAATAATCAGACAAAATGTAATAAAATCATTCATTTTCATCCTACTACTTATTCACATCATTAGTTGTAAACTTTTAACCATGTACCTTTTTCTGTGTAGGATTGTATATACGTACGTCTATTGAACAATAACCTTATTTAGCCATTTATTTTCAACCATATCAACTCACTCAAAGACTTGGAATGTATTTGGCTCAGGTAAATATCAATATTGCTCACTTCTGGTTTTCCCGCTGATATATTTGAATTAAATACAAACAACCCAACACAATTTATTATCGGACTATTTTCTATCGCATTTTCGAAGTAAATCTCATGATGTGATTCGAATACAAAACTATGCATTGGATTTAATGAATTCCATTAAACTCGATAAGCCAAATGATTTGATTATTAAATGTTCAAGAGTTACATAATCGAACTGTCTATAAGTACTAAAATACAATTATTGAGTGAGCAGAACCATAATCACTCACTCAAACAGTATCAGTTATTATTCACAGCCTCATACATAAACATAAGTGTTGACGAATATTAACAAATAGAACAGTAACAGGAAAATTTAAGCAATTTGCAACATTACACAGAATATAAGAAAAAATAAAACTACAAGGGAATACTTTGACGTGAATGCGAGGGACAAAAAAAAGAGGGGGAGAGAGGAAAGGCATATAATCCACAGTAAGTATTCACTTAAACTACAAAAACAACAGAGAAAAATTAAAACAAGTATCCATTCAATGTTACATTACATGAAAAATGTAGAGTAAGAAAAGAGAAGTACAAGATATGAAAATAAAATTCAAAAACTTGTGACAGGATTCACAATGACAATTGAAACAAAACGCGCGCACACACACACACAGAAGTGAATTCATTAAAATACAAATACAAAAGAAAGAAAACTAGTTACACAAGACAATCTCATATATTAAGTCAGGGTAGTCTATGAAAAATAAAAAGAGGGAAAAGGTCAACAGTTCTTACGTAATCATAAACTACTGATAATTCTTATTAGTTCTAATATATAATGTTGCATACTTAAAACACAATATGTACAAAGCCTAAGATATCTGGCATTGTGAATACAAAATATTTATCTATATAAAAGACAATTGATATTGTACATTGAAGAAAGTACATACACAGTTTGGAATAATAAAAAGTTGTAAAATGAACATGTATAAAAAAAAAAGAAAATATACTATCACATTCTAGAGAAAATGTCGTCACATAACTGATGAAAAAGATAATGAAAAATTGAATGAAAACCGAGAGAGAGAGAGAGAACAATAAGAACATATTAACAACCATGAAAAAAATTATTCTAGTGTGATAAGAATGAATAGAAAACAGTTGTTAGCGTCAACTTCAATTAGTTGTAATTCAAACTCAAATTTAATGAAGTTGGAAAATGAAACAACCTGATTCTACAGAGTTACAAGAAATTCTCCTTCTACAAATCAATGAATATTTTCAACAATGACTGACAATCATCTAGTTTAGTATATGATACAGGAAAAAAATATGTAAGAATGTTTGACAGAATAACTGCAGTAAACTATAAACATTGGCAGTTTCATGGAATAAGATACCAAAAAAAGTCAATAAACTGAGTATTGATCATTTTGTTTGAGCGACGGAAACAATTGTAAAAAAGACTATGATACCGGTTTAACAACTATGAATAAGACCTAGATTATTTGCTTTTGATAATCATAAAAATAATCGAATGATATCCAGATGGGAATTAAAAACAAACGTTGATGTCCCTTAATCATTTCGAACACAACAGTTGAACAAATAATGAGAAAACTATTCTTTCATTTAATTTTATAACACACCTGTAAAGCGACAGGATGGGTAAGGTTAAACCTCAAGTAATGAATAAAAAGTATTAACTATGAAATGTATGCTGGTTAAAAGAAACTAGACTATTACACAGCATAATTCAATAGATCCACAATCAATTATGTACACTAGGATTGTAAATAAAGAAATGTATCCAAGATTTTGTGTAGCAGAATGTAGAAGTAGACAATAATGAAAAGTGCAATTTAGATTCCGAATGAAGATGCTATTCTATTGACTCAAACAAACAAGAATTGTACAAAAATATCACTTAAATGGATATTCTAGATCTCCATGAACTTACTGCATCTCTATGAACTAAAAATAGTATTTAACATAAACAACCTCAAATAATATGCTCGAAATTTATTCAATAAATGATTTTTCCTTCCACCTTCAAGTATGCTACATACTATTTTCTGTCGAGGGAAAAGAGTAAGATTTGAGAAAACAGAAATATTCAGCTGAAATCTTATTCAAGAACAAATGCGCAAACAGATAGATAAATAATGAATAATTAAACGATGAAAAAAAATATTAATAAACAGACATTCTTACCATCAGTACCGTCATGCACTGAACCGCCACTTGGTGGTTCACGTTTTAAACCATTTAATATTGCAGATTGTAGTAAATAATTTGACATTTCATGATTGGTTAAGTTATCTAAACGATTTACTGTACCGATAGACTTATTGGAAGATACTCCAACAGTAACAGAAGTTCTTGTTGACGATGACGTTGTCAATAACTGAGATTTTGGAAATGAATTATTCACAACAACATTATGACCTTTACAATTCATCATTGTATGAAACACAGGAGAAGATGAAAGAGATGTTACTGCTGACGGTAGGTTATTCGGATAGTAATTAGATGAAGTTACGAAAACAGATTCAGACATATTATCTATACATTGACGAGGATTATAAATACTATCACTGTCTAACATCAAACTTTTTAACTCGAAATTTTCATTCCTAGTCAAATATTTAAATGATGATGTTGGTAAATGTGACGGTGGCGGAGGTGCAGGACTCATAGGTGGTGGTCGAGAACGTTGATGTGGTAAAGTTTTTCTGTCATTTACGTCAGTCATTTGATTCCCACAAGAATTAATAGATGAAGTCATCAAGCTGGCAGCATTCAAATTATCTAGTAAAAACCCACCAGTTCCACTGAAATCTGTCTTCTTTAAACTTTTGTCAACTGTATCTATGCAGAAGTAAAATAATATACAAGTATACAATAGTAAAAAAGGAAGTTAAGTGATTTGTTTTTATTTTTAAAGAAAACCAACGCATACACCAATTTATCTACGATATTGTATGGAAGTTAACATAAGACAATATGATTCGGATTTTTTTAAAAGATTGTTGAATGCGTTATACACGCACAATGGTCCCAGTTATGAGACTATAGAAATATGATATTTAAATAAATATTATATGTCTGGTATGAATGTTATGCAATGAGAAATATGGCAAACTTAACAGCATATATTATTTGCATGTTTAATTAAACGGTATCGAGAACGGGTGAACGGACTGAGATGAAAAGAATGTATACACTTAAAGAATAACTCATTCTTAGTGTGATTTACTCAACGTTGCATTTAGAAATACAAAGAAACTTTAACGAATAAAAATATGCAGCTCAATATTTGCAGCTTGGTTCAAACAACCAACTATCATTTATGTTGAAACTAAAAAGTGTGAGCATTATTTGATGAGAATCTAAGTAACTACAATTACTTTTACTAAACGCCAAGGAAAATGAATTAACACATTACTGTAATGGTGAATTTTTTATCTGTTACGTAATAGTCAGTTAGTGAACAGTGTTAAGGTAAAGACAATTTTTAACTTGATAACTATTAAAACCGTTGTATACCGAACGAGTGATCTAGGGTTTAAGAGTTCACGTGTGTAACCGAAGGTCCTGGGTTCAATTTCCAGGTGCGGAGTCGTGGATAAGTACTGTTGAGGAGTCCCATATCAGGACGTAACAGCCGTTCAGTGATTCCAGATTTTCAATAGTGGTCTAACATTGACCATTTCATGGTCCCAATTAAAATAATAAAGTTGTAATTACGGTTAATTAATAGTCATCAAAATAATTATTCAACGCTATTCTATTCCACTTCAGACTACTATTTTAGAAAATATGATTAACTATAAATACAATTGTACAACTTAAAACAAAATTTTCTTGACTGAATTACCTCTATTATTTTTCAATGATACAGTGGGTCAGTTGACATTCTACAGACCGCCAATATAACAAATATAACTTAAACTATTCAACTAAATCTGTCCAATCCTATTTGTAATAAGATTGCACAGACTTAATATATACCAATATATATATATATATATATATATATATATATATATATATATATATATATATATATATATATATATATACCATCATACCTAACATAAAACATAGTATTCAACAGTACAAAAGAGTATAAAAGTGGTGGAAAATAATTAAACAGCTGTTAAAATAACCCATAAAGCAAGTGATCAGGTTTCGTAACATATACATACACATGTTCCCAATCAACACATTGATGTATAAGAACAATAAATAAAATACAGAACAAAACATAACATAACATAATTGTTTACACTTACTCATTGAAGAATTACAAGAAATAACATTACATCCATTAGTAGAATTATTCATTATTAAACAATGTTTATCACGTCGTCTTTGACGCCATACACATAATACAACTAAACAGATCATAATTAAAAGCATTACACCGGTTAAAGCACCAAAAATTAAGAACATTAATCGATTTGATTCGGTGGAATTAAATGCAACCACATTTTTAGCATTGTATAATTCACGAGATTTTGCTATGGAGCGTAGAGCTGATGAATCGTGTTTATCCAAATTTTCATTTGTAGTTAATGAAATCTAAAAAGAATAGAGAAAAAGAAAAGAGAAGAAATTTTCTTATTGAAAAGTTTCTCATGTAAAAATAGGAAGAAATCTATGGACATATGCAGAAAGAAAGTTTCATTACAAAGTGTGAATATTGTTGTCAAGTGATTGAATCAATCTTATCGAACCATATATTTAACGATTTATTAATGAACTAATATAAATCATCTAATAATTATTTTTTCTGTATGGTTTAAAGTCATCTGAAATGAGTTGCACTATTGTTATTATTTAAATACATAAATATTGATACAAAGAGGAATCAAATATATATGCGCCACACTTCATCATTCGATTTTTGTGTGAGCTGGAATACTGTCCGCATGCCCAAACAGAAGCAGATATTTTGCTTAGATGGCCACTCCCTGAGCCTTTGACCTAAAGGTCTAATGCACAAGGCAGTCAAGCGACGCTAGGTGATGCAGTCTAATGGTAGCCGGTGAACAACAATAGGTCCAAACACCATTTGTTACCTCAGAACCCCGGAGCCCATGTGCACCATTGGTTTGGAATCAAGGTTTTCAAACTCACACTATTGCTAAGTATTATTTTCTAACAGTTACGGATCGAGTATTATCTTTCGAAAATCCTATGAATCAGTGAGATGTGAGATATTGCGAGAAAATATTTATAATTGTATGTTTCTTTATCGTAATTGCTATCAATATCCCTATAATAATATTTATCCATGATGTGACCATATCATGTTAAGTTTACTTGTTCAGAAACCAATCAAATATGATTAATGTAACCGACAGATAGATACATTTGCTAAAATATACAAACATATGTAACTTTTCTTTCCCATAGGAAACAATATGATACATTAATTGCTAGAACATATAAATGGCATAATGGACGATTCGGAAATGAATCGGTTAAAATAAAGTGCTCTTGATCAACCGTCAATCAATGTTGCAGAAATTAAAGTAACAAAAATAAGTATCAATTGGATAAATAATGTCTAGCGCTGGAATCTAACAAGCGCGTTTCGTCCTATTTTGGACCTGCTAACAAAATCCATCTTCATTTCGGTGTTGTTCGCATTAAGATTTAAACTCAACACAGGATATCTAGTACACTTTTGAAGCAACTTAATGTAGACTAAAGTGCTTCGATCATATTATGTAAACACATTTATCACTAAGGTTTATGCAGAATTAATTTCCATTTAAATACTGTGTATGTAATCCCAACATAGGCATTGAGAAAAAAAAGCACGAACAAAAACCAATACTAGAAAACATACTGAACGTGGCTTTACAAACACTTCATGACTGAATTGAGTAATTTTTCGTCCATTCAATCCACCTGTGAAAATTGTCGATTGTGGGTCGAATCCAGGAGGTGTATACACGCCGTAAACCACAATTTGATACCCATATATAAATGGGAACATATAAATGGCATAATGGACGATTCGGAAATGAATCGGTTAAAATAAAGTGCTCTTGATCAACCGTCAATCAATGTTGCAGAAATTAAAGTAACAAAAATAAGTATCAATTGGATAAATAATGTCTAGCGCTGGAATCTAACAAGCGCGTTTCGTCCTATTTTGGACCTGCTAACAAAATCCATCTTCATTTCGGTGTTGTTCGCATTAAGATTTAAACTCAACACAGGATATCTAGTACAGTTTTGAAGCAACTTAATGTAGACTAAAGTGCTTCGATCATATTATGTAAACACATTTATCACTAAGGTTTATGCAGAATTAATTTCCATTTAAATACTGTGTATGTAATCCCAACATAGGCATTGAGAAAAAAAAGCACGAACAAAAACCAATACTAGAAAACATACTGAACGTGGCTTTACAAACACTTCATGACTGAATTGAGTAATTTTTCGTCCATTCAATCCACCTGTGAAAATTGTCGATTGTGGGTCGAATCCAGGAGGTGTATACACGCCGTAAACCACAATTTGATACCCTTTACCTGATTCTAAAGCCTGTAGCTTGTGTTCCTAAAAACATGTGAATAAAGCAAATGGGTGAATAACAACAACTAATATTGTAATTGCATCTCTTTATACTTGAGATTAAATGGTTTCGATTCTGTTTGTAATAAGGACAAATTTGTTGTGTGTTAATATTGATGACAAAAAAATTGTTTTCGCCGACAAATCTCAATATGTTTCAATTTGAGAGCAAGTAAAATAGAAAAGGATGAAGATAGTTTGCTCCAAATTTCGAACTGTTTCGACATAGCTGAACGTTTAAAACCTATTTAAAAGTAAATTGTCACCGTTTTCACGAGAAAGCTTTTTCATAAGACAGACAAAGACCGAGCTTAATTTAAAAAGGTCAGAAATCCTAATTTTAAACCAGAACAGTTTATATAAAGTCGAGGATCTGTAAAAGGTTAATGGCACGTAAGCCTTCTTTGATTACTCACTATTATGAAATCTATCTATCGACATTGAGCTAGTGCGCCTATGCTATGATCTGTAGTTTAAGTGGAACACTCAGGAGCTAACAAACAAACAGCCTACGGTAGGACAAGCCAATCAAGACTTATTTATTTTACAGAACTAATGAAATATCTTTAAGTCATAAATAGAGAAAATAGGAATCTATGATAACATCATGAACATTAATCACTTGAGCAGAACTATAAACAATAACATGAACATCTCTTATTTAACAATAAATATTTCCCACGAGATTCAAAAACAAAAGAACATTTCCATTTACTGTAGCATTAGATCCATCAACGAAAACTGCTTTAAATCCATTATAAGTGATTCTTCCATTGGCTGAACGCTCTTCTGGACGATAGAGTAGAAGGAAATGATCAATAGGAAATCCAACAGCAGATCTAGCTAATGTCCAACGAGTTAATATTCCACCATCCGACTAGCAAATAAAAAGTAATGTATTCAATAAGAATTATGAATCAGAAATTACAAGAATCATAATCTTGGAAATTATGGCTCTAATAGAGATTATTTATGGTTTTAAAAGTAAGAAAAAGATAATATTCCGTCATTCGGAAAGGTGTAGACATCAAACATAACATAAGTTCAACAAAATGGTGGTTAGTTTTACGAATTTATTTATCAACAACTACCAGACTGACTGACATGATAAGAACATATATAACTCATGTCCAAACAGCACCTATCTTGATGGATAATGTCTGGTATAGCAGTATTTTGAAGGAAGGTTATGAATGGTTAGATCAAAATATCGTGTATATTCATGAAGTCACTGGTTCTTTGTCTGATCCATGCTAGTAGACACAAATTACCTAGTTGAGGTCCACGTGGTTATCGTGGCGAGTAGCTGGAAACCTTCAATGACATGGTCCGAATTAGGTCACAGTGGTGCAAATTCACCTAGTCTTTGTCTTCCCTTATATTTCCAGTTTCATATTTCATTCATTCCTTTTCAATGAATACGCATTATTCTTTATCGTTCTGTACCATCACTGATAATGCTACTTCTATTTAGATATTCTAGAACATCATGATTTTATCCCACTTTGTTGATATGGTGCAGTAGTTTGGACTGAAGCACATTTATGACATGTTCTATTTTTGAATATGACCAACTGATTGATTGATAAAAAGAAATTCATCCAACAAAGATTAGTTTTTTTAACGGGAAGGATATGTTTTTAATCAAACAAAAAACTAATACTTGAGTAAAGAAATATACAAATATAAAACTTACCAATCGTTCAGTTTCTGTAATGACTGGAGCAACTTTAGAAATATGCTGAAAACTAACAGTTTCAGACCATGGACTCTTATCAACTAACCGATCATCATTATTTATTTGTTTAATAGCATTTATACGAAATTGATAACTTTTACCTGGTACCAATTCACCAGGATGACGATTAGTCAAGTAGAAATGTTTGTTTTTCAAACAACATGCTATGTCATGACTACAGCATTCTTCTACCTAGAAAGTAAATGAAGTATAAGGATATAACAATGTGTGAACTGAAAGTACACTTAAGATGTGGTTAATTATACAATACAAATGAAAAAAACAAGATCCCTAAAAATTCCAATAATTTATATTGCTCAAAATACATAAAAAACTGAATTTATGTATACGATTTGTGAAGTACTTTGTAGACTTAGCAAGAATATAGATGAATAAAGTTCCTAAATACATTTTCAGTGAGTGGACTTTATGGAGGTATCCTGTATCATGAACTGATATTGGTTAAACAAACTTTAAAAATCAGAGACTAGACAGTTGTTTCTTCTTGTTGTATAGGATACGCCACATACAAAAGTACATCCACTATCTTAGATGAGATTATAGTAACGACATAGATATTCCGTGATGAATAATACGTCCTTAGAACACGGAGACAATAATTCTTCCCGAGACATTAGGTCATAATGAAAATTAAGAGGGAAATTCGCATCTTTATATTATTCTAATATTGTAGTTATTCTACACTCACTTTAATAACAGTAAACAGAAAAGTGGTACACATATTGTGAACACATACTAATTCAAGTGTTACTAGGAAAAAATTGATACTATTTTTAAGAGCAAAAGAAAGGATTGTGTGACATAAATACTCTCGGAAGAGGCAGATAATTGCCAATCAACGGTAACATGATTACCACATTTGTCATGTACAGATTCGTGTACTTAGTTTGGAGTCACATTCTAAGTACGAGTGCTAGTGATAGAATCCAGTTGCTTATACTGAAATGGGTGGAGAAAGGATTTGAACCTGCACATTAAAGGTCCGAAATTGAAAGCATTGACCATATATCCATCGCTTCGTAACATCACAGTCACAGATAATAAACTATTCACAAATCAAAAATTGGACCACTTAGAAATTACATATTGATGAGCATATTATGAGATACGGTACACAAAAATATTTCAGCTAATTGGAAGGAAATAATTTAAGCAAATGAGGCAAAGGGAGAGGAAAAACTGAGACAACCAAATAACTTTTTCGATTGTTAAGAAAATTAGGAAAAATCAATTCGATTGAAATTTAGTTGATACACGAAAGATATTCAGTGACCATTTATATTTCATGAGCACATAAAAGCATACATGTAAGCGTATTCAAGCAAACAGATAAATGATATGTGGAACCAATCAGAAGTAGCCTAATGAGAAAACCAATGGCAATCAGAAGTGACTTAAAAGGACAAGTGCTAAGAAATGGATTGATTTCCTAAGGATTAGACTGGTATATATATATATATATATATATATATATATATATATATATGCATTTTATTTGGCAGTGCGATACACTTTCTCATTGACTCTTGTGTTCTCACTCAGGTAGTCAGTTGGGGGGGGGTAACGCGTAACACAACATGTATCAGTATCAGACTTTGGACACCGCCCATCACAACACAAAGACATTAAAATTAACAATATGAAAACGTCGTTTTTTCTTGTTAGCGATGATAACCCCGTAACTTCAATGCGTTATAGCCAGAGACAGAAACCCATTCAGCATGTTGAGGTATGTTAGTTTGAAGTAGACTTCTCTAACCTTTTTATTGTACTCTAGGAATTGAGCATTGCTGTAGATAGTGTCTGAAGACAGAACCTTGCCGTCTTCATACCCTTGTACAGTTGGTAGTACAACTTTAAATCCGAGACGAAACGTCGGAAGATTAATGTACAAATCGTACAGTCATAACTCCATAGCATACAGAGGGTGAATTAATTAACCTCGTGAAAATTACATTTTCACACCATGTACATTACTAACATTCTATAAGTAGTCATATAGACACTTACCCCCTCCTATCCACAGAATCATAACTACAATGGATAAAAACATATGTACATAAATAAATAAAAAATACAGATTGACTACTACTAACTGTTTCATCAATTGTTGAGCGATCAAATAGGCCATCTGACTCTGGAATATGTGATCTGAGAACAATACGATAAAAATCACAGTTTATTGAATTCCAACTAATTAGTACAGCTAAATTGTCACCAACAGTTGTCGCATTCGGTTTATATAAATGTTCATCTAAGAAAATGAACAGGATAGAGAGAGAGGGAGGAATTAATACAAAACACAATCAACAGAAATAATTAAAGAATGAAAGTGAAAAAGTGATACGCGTCTAATAAATGAACGCTTAACACTGGCTTCTAACTATCTAGTTCCTAACGAATCGTCTAAACTTCAATCTTGAACAAGCGATAAAAAGTCAAAAATATACAAAGGAAGATCAGTTTAGATAGATAAAACAAGGATATCTATAGGTTGAAGTATGACTGTGATATTCGGAAAGCTTTGCAAACAAACAAAATTTAATTCCAAAAATTGTCAATTATCTAATCAACATATGATAAACAAACCATTGTTTATCTAGAACTATTTTAGGGATTTCTGATGATCGCTAATTGAACAAAATGTTTTCAGCTTACTATATATATATATATATATATATATATATATATATATATATATATATATATATATATATATATATATATATATATTTGTTAACTAAGAAGAATTATGTTTGGTCTTATGAAAAATATTCAGATGAGATCGCAAAACGAAAAAGCCCAATTACATAAGGACGAACGGTTTACTCGCCAACTACTCTTTCCATCCTAGTAGGTGCATCAGTCAGTCAGCTACAACGTAGTTACATCGAATGAACTAACCCGTTGAAACATTTTTCAAATAAGTCAAACAAAATTTCAACTGTGAACCAAATTCAATATGTTAGGATTAACAGTATACCACTGATTAATTAGTCGCAAGCAGTCAAAGAAAATATCTAAGCTATTGATCATAATGATCAATAATTTAGTTCTTGAATCTACCAGGCATACATCAGATATGTATATCAGAGATATGTCGAGAATTAGTTATATTATTTAGTGATAAATAAACCGAATTTTTATCAAGCTATAATGGATTTTAAAAACATAATTTAAAAGAAATAAACTAATTGTTTATCTACTCCATATGATATTATTTCATGCATAAATAGAAATCTAAACTATAATTAGCTTATCAGCTCATTTATGGCTAGGACAGCTGATTGTTCTATAAATATGTAGTAAATATAAATCACTGCTCAGCTGAAATATAGTCACATGAATTAATGATAATACAGACGAAAATAAACCCTCTTACATGAACTTCTTGGAAATGATAAATTTAACAAAGGTAGTGAACCGATATGTTCAGAAGATGAAGACCATTCATTAACTATGTGTTCTTGACTACGACGCGTACGATAAAAAGGATTAGTCACTTGACCATTATGCAACAAACTATCCATCTTGTTAGAGCTTCTGTGATGAAGATCAGTGAATTTATTAGTCGAATAGTTAAATTGTAAATCATTATTCACTAAAAGATTAGAAGGATAAGAAAAAAAATATTGGAACTAATTAAAAAGATTATTACAATAACATACTAGTCACTTGTATCGAAGTTACAATAATTTTTCGCATTATATACAATTAAAAACAAAAAGATATCAATAGTAAATAAACAAAACGAAAATCAGATTCATTATTTAGTTATAGGTCTGTCTTTTCATGTCGTCGGACTTTCCCGGTAAAATCGTGAGGTATGTGAAGCACGATAAAAAATCAAATAAAAATTATCCTTCCATTAAGCTATCGCTTCATGTTTTATTTAGACAAAAGATGAGGTTCAAGAATGTGCTAACCTGTAAAACAAAACAGACATTTCCAAATGGATTCAATGTAGAATCATAACAAAATTCAAATATATTGAAGTGTAATAGTGAACCAATAACCTGGTTTTTGCATGTATAAATGAAATGATTGAAACTATCTGACAGATATGTAAATTATTTAAAATACAATAGTAAATGATAATGAAAAATAAGAAATAACTTACATGAATACGATGAAATAACAGATTCCATAAGTCTGAAATAACGTTCATATATTAACTGTTCACCAAAATATATATTACAACTGTATAAACCAAAATCAGTTGATCTAGTCACATTGATATCAATTATATACAGTGTAGAACATTGTAATTTATGATTTGAAGCATTATTATTATGGTTATTAGTATCATTAATATTACTGTTCATTGATAATAATGAATTTGAGCTGTCAACTTTCAACCATTTTACATGAATCAAATTTAAAAGACATGAAATATTTAAACGTTCAGATAGACTATTACTATTTCCAATAGGTAATAAATTGTGCAAAGTTTTTGTAATATCATCAGCAATTTGGTGATATGAATCTAAATTATACTGTGATAAACATGTCAATTGTTTTTTATTACCGATTTCCATCTTAAATAAATCAATCTTATGATGACGTAAAGGAAATGTAACTTTTGATAAAACAGAGTTGAATTCATCTAAAAGGAATGAAAACAAAGAAAATAATATTTGGATGGGTATTAAGCTATAGAAGTGTATGTATTGGCTACAAGAGAAATCTGGTTAGATATCTAGCAAGCAGAGCAAAAAATATCTACTTAGGTGATACGATAAAGGAGTTGAAGTTTTTTAATAACATACTGACGGAGAACGGCTAACTTCTTTTAAAGAAGTTTATGTATGCGGAAAATAATAATTTGGAGATATCGACCACTCGTAATAAACCTTTATTCCTAAGACGACAATTTAACGGGGGTGTGGCTAGCGGTGATAAAATAGCTGATCTTGTGTTGTATTGTATGGTAAACCAGTGATATCAACTCAAACAAAGAATAAGTTACTTGAGTTGATCCCTTAGATGTCCATCTACAAAATCAACTGCTCCTGCTGAGACAATCATACTGGCCGTACTATCAGGTAACGAGTAACCATCTCTCAGCTTGGTTTTGTTAAGACCAGACAAAGACAATATACAACACTAATTTGTCACATTTGGTTGACAATGGTCATATGGTAAACAATACTGAATTATTTCGAGTAATCGATCGTACATCTTCGTCATTTTTCCATGGGGTGTGATTACGTATTCCCTTATACACGTTATTCTAATTTTTAGTGGGAATCTTTAGTAGTTTAAAGTCAATAATTTACGGTTTGCTCGATTCATAGTTACTCTTATCCTGTTATGTATAACTATTAATTGTTTAGAGATAACAGTGAGCGACAAAACAACTACAAAATTAACTTCTTGCAATTCTAGTGCACTAAAATTCTGATCCTTACAAAGGAACATCCAAATGAGAAAAAGAAAACACCAGGTAGCAGATAAAGTAGTCTAACTAATGTGTTTAACAAACATCTAATCATAAGTTACAAAGTCTAAATTCAATGTTAAGATTAACTCAATATGGAATGGATTAGAATATTATTATTTGAAAGTTAACTACACTTTTTCCCCTTAAAAAACGCTCTTCCAAAAAACAATAAAAAATATTTTAGCCAATAATAATTTTAAATAACTCTAAATAAATATTGCCCAGATCCCAAACAATAAGTAACCAATAAGCACTCAATTAGTGTAATCATTGTGAAACATTGATTATGATGATATAAGATAGTGGACATATTTCTGAATTATATATATATCATCCTGACGATATTCAAATGACACTGAATGATGAAAGAGAAATAATCAGCTTATAATAAAACACAATAGGATAAAGAATAGATTAAATAAACTGACATTTATTAATTCCTCATAACTTTCTGGATAAAACTCTAAATATCATTCAACCAAATCGAATCTCGGTACAATACAACTATAAACATTGATATAATCCTATTGTAATTTTTCAAAATATTCTTCAAATAAAACAAAACATACATTCTAAATAAACTTAAGTTATTTTTCGTTTGGATTCTTATTTCAAATATAATTAGCTTAGTACAAATTCTTTATTTTCTTCCCTTTTTAAAAACTGCTAATTTTATTTGGATGACGCATTTCCCCCCCTTTTTGTTACTTACTGTCTTTACTATATTATGCATAGAAATAATTTTTGCATACACATTTTTAGAAAAAAATTTAATTAAAACTTTATATGGTGTACAAGTAGTAACAATAATAATAATAATAATAATAATAATAATAATAATAATAATGGTAATAATAATAATAATGGCGTAATTCAGATGACTATAAAATGGAATTTAAAATAAACCTGAAATGAAATGAAAAGATGAAATTTATTATCTAGAAACAAAATATATTACATTGTAAAACAGTCATTTAAAAAAAAAATTTCACCTCTTGTAAATAATGATTGTTCACGTAAAATAACTGTACTTATTCCATCTATCCATATATTATTGACATTATTTTCAAGAATACACTGATATATACCGACATTTGATAATTGCATTGAATTAATTAACAACGATGTATGGTCTAAACAGGATATAGAAAAAGGAAAAAAAGAGAGATGAGCGTAGAGAAAAGAACATGATCAAATTTATTTAAATAACCGGAAGAACTAGAACAGAAATCTAAAGAGAGAAAAAAAATAAGATATAGAAAGAGAGACAAGAGGAGAGAGAGAAAAACACAAAGATGAAATATTGACTGTCTGCGATTTATCTGATTGGACAATCATGGCTGGCGCCGGTGTCCATATAATAATTGAATAAAGTAATATCCGCAGAGCACATATATGATATATGATAAAACTCATTTAAATATACAAGAAAATTCAATTTAATCCGACTAAACATAAGGGTTTAAGAGAGATATCAGTATAAGAGGAAAAACGGATGATTTTTATGATTAACCTGTTTTAAGACATGACGTCAGAAATAGACTTAGTTTTAGTCTGAATGAAAAAAAACAAACAAACTATGTTAGTGCAAAATAACAATAAAATGACATCGTTCTAATTGTGTTCCATATTTTCTCTCAATTTATTAGTATTACCTAGTGTATGAATGGAACTATTTATGTGACTAGAATATTTTATTGTATGTTAAACAAAAGGGTGATAATTTGTATGAATCGAAAATATATTACAATTATGTTTATATAAGCATAAAAAGTGACTGAATTAAAAGATAAGTTGAAATCATTAGGATAATAATCACTTTAAATATTTGTAATAAGTTTCTTTTCTGTTATGAGATACTCATTTGATTTTAGTTTAATGGAAGTGTGGTATGATTGATCTGATCGAAAGTGAATCAATCATAAATACCACATAGCCTAATTCGAATATGCAAAAGATTAATTTTCATTAAATTATCAAGGGTGATATAACAAAAGATAAATAGTAGCATCATTGATAGCGAGAAAGATTGAACATTAGAGAATATGATTCGGGAAGAAAGATTGAATATGAAGAAAATGTACGGAGTAATATTGAGAATAAACAGTTGAAGGAAAATAAATTGCAAATACTTCTATATTACCGCGTGTTTCTTTTCTTCTAAACGTAGTGTTTCTTTAGGACTATTCTAGATCTTCTCCTAGATCAATCATGGAAATGAAGCACTTGAGTGCGTTGACCGCTTTACGTATTTTGGAAGTCTCTACAACCCTATTCAGTTGGTGTCACATGAAAGTTCAGCAATTCAAAAAGGTTGTTTGGCTTCGGCAAACTTACATTACGTCTGGTGTAGGCAAAATGTCTATCTGCTAATCAAAAGGTAAATATACTATGCAGAGTTACCCTCTTTATTATTCTATGCCTGTGAAACACATATCTAAGCTGTGAATCCTTACTAACTGAGATTGATGGGATATGTATTTTCTAACCACCGCCTATCTTGACATATGATGTCAACTGGTATAACAGTAATGTTGAGGGAGTTTAGGGGAGGGTAGACCAAAGTATAAAATTACTTCATAAAGTCACTGACTGTTGGTTTGAGCCATGTTGGTAGATGCAGGTACTCATGACAACCTAGATCAGTGGTTTGAGACGCTGCATGGCTAGCTCAAAATTATTTGTAGATATATCCATTCTGTACGTTACGTTATGCTTCGAGTTCTATTATTTCTTCACACATACCTGTACATTCTATGTTTTCAAACTATATTCTCAATGTTTATTTTCTCTCTTTAATATCGTTACTACATTATTTCGATCAATGTTGCAGTTTATCCCGCTATATCTATCCCGTAGTGCTAATATGGTATGGAAACTTAAGCTAACGCACATTCATAACAAGCTCTACAATTACTATAAATGACTGATAAAATCTTCCTCTGAGATGTTTTCATTCATTTGATAACATTTAACTTGAAAAACGAGGATAAGTAGCATCATTTACCACAACATTCAATTAATTCATTCTTTTACTTTTATTTAATGGAATTAACTAAAATATTTGTATTGCAGTATGATATATTATGCTATGTACATTGAATAATTACTTATCTTAACCTCAGCTTCTTTGAAAACATCTTTACGCTAGTATAATTCAAACTAATCGATAATAGGTGATTCACGGTAATAACAAGTTTGATAATGCAAACTACAGTAGTTGTACCCACGAAGAAGCGCTTATAAAAACCCCAAATCTAGAGAGAGAGAGAATGGTCTGAATGTAGCCGACATAAAAGAGTTGGGTTATCATTATTTCAGTATAATGTAAAATGGATAATCCGGACACTGGAAGTATACAACCAAATAAACACCTTCATATTACATTTTTTTAATACTGGAAAACCCATATAAAAAACCATAGAGCGATACAAAAAAGGACATAACCACATGTAGTGTAGTGGTGTTAGGGTATGTGTAACAGAGTAATAAAAGAAGGAAAACCACCCTTACCAAGATAGTTGAACAAGCAAACTTATAATATACTTGTAAGGAGAAAAAACAGACAACGTCCAAAACTAATAGATATTTCAACAGTAGCAAGAATGTAAACTCTATACTTATGAACAAATATATTATTATTGTACTAGTAATGATTGTTAATATTTTTTATTCGGTAATTGATATTTAGTCAAATGTACATATATCATGTACATAGTACAAGTAAATTCAAAGTTATTCATTCAATCATTCTAATCTGCCCTACTTTCATTCTCCACCACTCTCTCTCTCCCTTCTTAACTTAGTTATCATGTTCATTGTCAAAAATCGGTTAAAATAACATGAAATAGTAAAACATGAAATTATAAATTGGTTTTTTAGGAATAAAAAGGAAAAATATTAAAACAAGCAAGAGAACAAGGGAGAGAGAGAACTGAAGAAACAAAAGGGTGATGACAAAATGATGACTATGAATACAATAATACAATAATAATACAACAGGATATTGATATCACAGAATTTTGAGCGTTTTTATCTTCAACTTTTTTAAAAAGTTAATTCAGTTGAAAAGAAAAGGGATGAGTAGAAAGGCATGTACAATAATCTAAGGAACTAAGAAAAGGAAAGCCAAAAATAAACATGTGAACAAAACATATATACTATCATTATATAGACATGTAAAGTGGTTTATGAATCCTATAGACAACATAAAAGTAGACTGTGCAAAAGAAGATAATTATCAACTGATTGGATTTAATTTAGATCTGGAACTTTACTCTCAATGACCAGCATCAAAACTAATGAAATACAAAGGTTTCGATCGATTATCTTACAATTGATACCTTTAGTCAATAACTCCGCCTGTGGTCTCTATGGGGCTACTGCCGATCCCAAGCCCGGATAAAAGAGGAGGGTTAGACATGGGGATTAGTGACCCCATCCCGTAGAAAACTAACTCACTAAAAAACGCTAACGTTTTGTCAATAACAATATGTTAGATGATACATGATAACCAAATAAAAATAATCCTGAATCTTCTAAAACATTTTCAGCATAATCAACTGCTGACTAACACTTCTATAAGCGTATACCAATGTCAAGAAAATATCTGTAATGTGAAAATCAATACTATTCATTAATTTAACACTAACCAAACACTCATAAAATATTCTGTTCATATCATTAATTGAATGTTAAGAAATAAGATAACAGATAAGATTTATTTAATAACTTTTTTTCAAAAACCATATATATATATATATATATATATATATATATATATATATATATATATATATATATATATATATATATACTTACATGGATTTATAGACACTGCAAATTGAACAGGAATTCCGTTGAAATACCAAGTCGGTGTTATATCAATTATAGAACTTATACATGATAAATTAACATAATCTCCTATATTCGCTTTAATATTCTGCGGATAAACGATTAATTGAGGTGAAGCTGAAATAACAATAATAAGTTTGGAAGAAGAAAAAAAAGAAAGAAACAGTAATACACATATTTGTAGATATCATATTAAACACAAAATTGTATTAGGAAAATGAGAAAGCAGAAAACAGAACGATATAATCAAGGGGGAAAATGTATGATATTAAAGTATGTATCAAGGAATAACTTTTGATGAAACGAAATGGAATTTGAAAATAATAATAATAATAAAAACTTGTAGGTAACATTTATGATAAAATACATATTTTTAGTATAATTCAGTAGTAAATTGAGCTAATCGTTTATTTTTTCCCATTATGTTTCACTATATGCAACATCGTATTCCTGACTTAGAAACAACTGAACAAACATTAAATGAATCACTTGATGTTATTTCATGTTTGTGAAATAATACTTTAAATTGGAAGAGGGTAATATAAGTCAAAACTACTCGATTGTAAGTGTCCTTTATCAATACCAAATATGAGACGTTACATAATTAAAATGGATCAGTTGATGAGATGAAAAACAATCATTAGGTTAGCTGATTGTTTTATTTAAATCCAATGACGGTTTATCACAGAATGATATCTCGAGTGATGCAAGAGTGATTTGAAAAGAAATCCGAGAATGACCAAACTACAAATTGACACTAAATTATGAAGTCGGTGCTACGAGCTACGTACAAAAGTGCATGATTCCTAGCCAAATCATAATCGACAAGAGAAAATTACATTTCGTTACTGAAAATTAATCACAATATTTCCTGGAATCATCTACTCTTTGTTATTATGATTTTAATATTGAACAATGTATTATTATAATTCGTAAGGAATTGAGTTGTTGTTATTGTTGATTGAATTTTGATCGGTCTTAGTTGGCATATGAGCATCATGGGCGAATTGGCTCGAGAAAGTCACTTTATCACAAGTTTTATAGATGGATTGTAGCTAACAGTGAAATTGAGCAAAACAGTCAGATAACCCAAAATTTTACAAATTAAATTAAATACATATCGGTAGCACAAGTAGTTAGCCTAAACTTAATTATTTCACCATATTTTTATGCTTGTTTATTCAAGTCAAAATAAACTTAATATAAACAAGAAAAGATGGAATGTGGCCAGCATTGGAATCTAGGGCGTGTGTTTTGTTATGTGTGGAACTCACCAGCCGAAGGTACCTGTACGTCAGAGTTCATCGTCACACCGATAATTGAAGGCAATACCTTATGTTCACACACCCAACGCATTATCTGCTTAGCCAGTTACTCACTTGAGAAATAGGTATGAATGTTAAAGGTTTTTGAATTATCCAAGGGAAAAAACCGGACTAATCAGTTTCCTAAGGATTTATATTTATTATGGGAATATTTCATTTCATTGATTAGCTGACAGCTTGATTACATATTTTACATGCATTGATTTCAAATTTTTGAAAACAAATGTTAAACATATTTATGTATATTTCTTAAAATGTTCAACTTACGAAGAACATTTAGATAGGCATATGACGTAATATTGTTAGCTGTACAAAAGTACAATCCTTCATCATTCTTTACCAAACTATATATATCTAAAACGCCTAGAGGAAAGAAAAAACGTGAAGTGAATAGATTACTCATCGATTAAGCAGTAGAATCTATGTTTTAAAAATATACACCAAATTTTTCTCAACGTTTAAACTTACCAAATAAAGAGTCAAACTTTTGATTTCCACTAGATACACCTATAACTCGACTCACATTAGCCACATATGGTTGTGGAGAATTGAATACGCAAGGTAATGTTATGTTCTGACTTTCATAAGCAGTTATTTTTATTGGCTTCCTAATGTCATTGACCGCATCAATATCTAATAGACTACCATCCAAATTCATGTATAAAACATTTTTTAATGAAGGATTGGAAGAGACTAAAATAAAATTAGATAAAATAGCTGATGTGAATTTTGAGATTAAATAAATAATTACATATGAACGAATTAACTTATTCAACGTAGAACCGTTCGAAAAAAACAAACACAAAATCTGATCAGTCATAAAAATTATGTTAACACAGATACAAGAAATAAACAATTCCACTTTTTATTAGTATACATTAACAAGTTAATCATGATTAACTTAGAGTTGGACAAGAAGAAATCTGATCGAAATATAAAAAATCGCTGTAATTTTCCATAATACATATTTAGGCATCCCAAAGACAGTATTTGTATATATAATATCCCTCTACTCAGAATTTACTCCATGCACTAACTTAACCATTAAATATAACGTGATGTCTGTGATTTAAACCGGTTACTTTTTACTGTTTCAAACCGCATTATCTAGTTTCATAAATTACAACTATGTTTGACATTTGATTAATTTATGAAAATCTATAAAACATTATTTCTTACACTAAACTAAATTATTAAATGATTTTGCAGTTTATTGAATTGAATCTTTGATACTTAATGTAATTAACATCTAAGCAATTATTCATCTTCATTAAATATCACTTTCTATGGATAAATAAGATTTTTATAAATGCTAATACCTAATTAACACAGAAAAATAATAGATTAGTATTATAAAATACATGTAGGTGAAAAATGCCATGGTAATGTACTCGTCTAAGAAGAGAATTATAAGTGTATTAATGTGTTGATTATTAAAAAAAAAAGAAACAACTAATATATCAGGACTGAACTATATCGAAAAAAATTGACTGAAATTGAATACATAGACAAATATATCGTGAATTCCTAATTCAACAGTAAACTATTTGTAGAATCCTTTATTGGAGAATAGTTTACAAAGAAAAGAAAGTTAATAGTGAAATGATTTTAACAAGAGTAAAACTTTAATTACGTATAGAGAGTTCTTGATTGAGGCCTATGAAATAATCGTAATCTATATTGTTGAAGATTTGGAATAAAATGGTTTAAAATCGTTGTAGGATTAACTTATATATTGCTTTCTTCTAAATCTTGGGATTTAAAATTATTTTATACATTTTATTTAAAATTTTTAAACTATATGGTGATATGAATTCACTTAATATCGTTTAGTTGAATCTTTCCATTGATGTTTAGGACTGCAATTGATAAGTCTCTATTGGCATATGTGCATACTGTTTTAAATAACACGAAACGAGTGTCCTGAGTTCCATTGCTAGCCATTATTTATCTTTGTTTATAATGCTTGTGAATTAAGACAATATCGAGGTAATACGCACAGTATGTACATATGCCAATAAGAGAATGATCAATTTCAGTCCTAAACATCAATGGGAAGATTCAAATAAACAATACCAAGTGAATTTGAACTTCACCCCATTGCACAAGCAAGTGGCTATCGGGACTCAGTAGCTAAGTGGATAATGCGATGGCGTTTGAAGCGAACGGTACTGTGTTCGAGTCCCAGAGTGAACATCAACTCAGGTGCAGGTACACCCAGCTGACGAGTCCAAAATGGGACGAAACGCGAGTCCACTGCTAGCCAATACCCATATTTGCTTATATGGTAATATGGTTTGAAAAGTATTAGTAAAACGCCACAAACGTCCTAGTATAGTCAAGTGTGCAGAATCCCGTCTCCCCGTCGTAATGCGCTTATATACCCACCGCCAGAGTATAGAAGGTCGATCTACGGGAGCTGAAAAATCCTGATTCCTAACTAATTGTGCACACTTTCCCCAGGATCCTAAGGGAACAAATGGCATATGAAATAATTCTTAGTCACTGGTTACCATGAATGTGTTTCCCTTAACGATGCTCTATAATCTTGGGGATTAGACTTATAGGTCAAAGGCCAAAGGAGTGGCTCCCTAAGAAAGTCACCTGCTTCAGTTTGGGCAGTATCCCAGCCCATACACTAATTCAATGACGCATATATATTTTGGTTCCCCTTTGTACTAAATAAAAGTACAAATTAATATACTAGATACAGAAGTATCTCAATTGACTGGGACAGATCAAACAATTTTTAAGGACAAATTTATGACAACCCCTACATGAATAAATGAATGTACAGTAAGATTGGTTTAATACAATATAATTCTGTATAATTTATAAAAACGTAGTCAGTATAAAAATAAGAAAACAAATTAGAACAGATGATAAAATTATAAAATTAACTCTACCGAAACGAATAGGCGAAATGTTTTAAGGTTATTACTGAAAAATAATCTGAGTTATTTTAAAAACTTAAGATTCAAATGCAGGAATTTTGAGCATTAGAAGAAATTATGAATTGTCTAAATTAATAATTTAATCCCAATGTTAAAAATTAATTATTTTGTCATAAATAATAAACAATATAATATAATTTGAAATATTCCCATATGGTAAATTTAGAACAACATATATAAGCGAACAATATTGTTTTCGATTAGATCCTCATCAGACTTTACTCTAATATACAGTAATATTTATATATATGCATATACGAAATTATTAAACCAATCAAGGTAGTTTATCAGTCAACGATAACAATGAAAACGATTACATAATAAGTGAAACATGAAAAGTACAAATTGATGGTGTGACAACAGGTGCATTAGTTTTGATAAGAATAATAAAGGCTCAAATCAATATTCCATAATCGGAAATAGGTTAATGATTAGAAAAAATATAGAAACTGAGATAACATTTATAAAATTATGAGATGACGTAATAAGAAATGTTCAGATAATTGGACCATGAAACGTATAGTTGAGAGAAAATAAAGTGGTAGGAAAGGGTGAAGAAAAATAATAAACGAAGAGGAAGTTTGAAAAAGAATAAATAAATTCATTTATTACTTAAAGCCAAGAGAGAGATAAGGGTGTTGCAAATTTTTTCTGAACACAAAGACTTGGCTTGTTGGCTCGGATTCCTATATTTTCTGCTGTGTGTAAGAAATGAGATCGAACACCATAAGGAAAACTAGTAGGAATACGATAAATAACTTTGAACGACTTGTTTCTATCCACTATATGACCGTTATCGATCAAGTTTGATAGAACCATCAATTTGTACTTTTCATGTTTCACTTATTATGCAATCGTTTTCATTGTTATCGTTGACTGATAAACTACCTTGATTGATTTAATAATTTCGTATATGCATATATATAAATATTACTGTATATTAGAGTAAAGCCTGATGAGGATCTAAACGAAAACAATATTGTTCGCTTATATATGTTGTTATAATATAATTGTAAAACTTTTTTTAAATTTTGCTTAGTTTAATGAAAGGATGATAACAAAGGCAAGTGATTGAACCTTGAAAGAACTAACAATATTCAGTGATGTATTCTTTTAAAAACAAAGTTGAATTATATAAATATCAACTTAGCAAATGTAATACCCAAAAAATCTTCAAAACTACAAACAAATCGTTGTTAACATGAAACATTATTTCAAAACTAAAACCAGCAGTAACTTAAATTTCATCAACAATCAATTCACTATTAAAATACAATCATTTAATTTTGATGTAGATAATTCAAAAGCATTGGTCAATTAACCGCATAATAATTATTCCCTAAAGTGAATTACTATTTATTGAATGATTATCTTCTATTCTTTTTTCTTACTTTCTTTGTACATAATGAGTTAGTTCTAATAGAATTTATATTGTGATATTATAGTCAAATTATAATATTTACCTAAAACAGTATGTATTACATTAAAACTATCTTCTTTTCTTTTCTTAACCAAACAACTACTTTTGACCACCCAATTGTGTATATAGTCAATATAAGTGATTGAAAACATATAACAAGAGGAAAAATAATACAGAAACGAAATGAAAGAGAGGAAAACATGAAAAAGTTCCCGCACAAAACAAAATAGGCAAACAAAAAAACACAATATAGTTATAATAATAATAATAATAATAATCTTAACTTAAGAAAATAGAAATAACTATTTATTTTGTCCAATAAAAAGTTAAGCAAATACTTAGATTCTAGAATTGTTATAACGATCTATAAAATATGATAAATTAAAAACACATTTCGAAATTATTATTATTATGGGTGTTATTGATGGCGACGGGTTAACAATTAACAAGCTACGAAAATTCGTTTTTCTTTCACACAAAGACGTGCATCTTAGATAAAAACACAATTGTTTTTTTTTCTTATACTAGAGAGAAAAAAAAAATACAAAACACATAGACTCGTAGAATTTTGTAATTTATTTCAATATATATTCATGAAAAACTATAGTAAAACAAGTTTGCATGAACGTGAACTACATAATTATTTTCATAGTATTTCTCTTTATAAAATAATCAAAATGTGAATCGAATATAAGAAACAAGTAGAAGCGCAGAAATGAGGAATGACAAAAAAACAAACAAGAACATATAGTTAATTTCCAATAAGAATGATTGTAAGAGAATATGTACATTCATTTATTACGTAGATTGTATTCAGTCGCTAATATTCTGCAAACAATTGTATCAGTCATCAAAAATATAACATCTATGCATACCTACGTTAGAGAACTCATGAGTACATTTTAAGATGCTATGGAAATGTAGATTAGTAACATATAAAATGATTAAGGAAAAATTAAAAAGAATCTTTTAAATATATGAATATTCTAGATGAGAAGACGCAGTAGAGAGTACGGAAATCGGAATACAGAAATGGGAGATTAGTATCAATTTATGTTATATGTATCTACTAATTTACATCTATATGCTAAAGCACATGGATTAGTAGAATAATAAAATTTAGTGTCCGCATTTTTGATTAAATTTCATAAAAGTTAAGACTAAAATGGACAGAGCTCTGCTCGCCCTTACCGAATGTCTGAATGGGAACTTTGTTGAATACGTTGTTATCAAAAGATGCATCCAACCATTGATGTTACTTTGGTGATCTTAGTATGAAAAGTGGGTTACGTAACATTTTTCACACGACCTTCACTATAAATTCTTACGGATTGTTGCTAAACTGGGCTTTTTTGAAGCGCTATGAAGACTATGATATAGTTCCTACATTTCTAAAAATTCTATACCTATATTTTCTAAGTTTTTTCTTCTAGGATATTTATGTATTTAAAAGATTCTTTTTAATTTCTGTACAATTATTATGTTATTAATCTACATCTCCATAGCATTTTTAAACTTAATCAAGAGTTCCCTAAAGTAGGTATCTATAGGTGTTATATTTTTAATAAGTGATACATTTTATTTATTTATTTGAACACATAAATATTGGTACAAGAGGGCACCAAGTATATATGCGACACACAAAACGATGAGAATGGGAAGAGAAAAAAAGGCAAAGTGCGTATAAGAAAAAAGAGAGAAGGAAAGAGAAGATTACTGTAAGGTAGTGTAATAATAATAATAATAATAATAATAATAATGGGGGAAACGGGAAGATACAACCAGAAAGAATTCTTTCAGTTAAAGAAGATACAACCACTTTTTATGAAGAAAATAAAAAAGGTTACAGCAGGATCGCCACTGGCTTCTATATGTGATAACGTCTCTAGCCACTGTATTCCAACACCTCTAGGACCCCAACCAGGGAGTCGTGAAGGACCAACACAGGCCAGCCCATTGCAGCTTTCTTTAATACCACGACACCATGTCGTATACTGACCACCTCTCCGCTTTTTCCAACCAGTCCCAGAGTCGACAAATAATGCACGACGTGGAATTCACTGGGACAATATTTGTAGAACATGTCCTAGCCACCGAAGTCGGGTTCTCAAGATGGTGACACCAACTGGATTATCGTCTCTGCGCCCAAACACACGATGCTGAACCTCTGCATTACTAACATGGAGTTGCCATTGGATGTCAGCAATCCCTCGGAGATAACGATGGGATGACTGATACAATTGTTTGTAGGATGTGAGCGACTGGATAGAATCCGTGTAATAAATGAATTTACACATTACTCTGATACAAATTCTATTCAAACTTTATTCAAACTTCTCAATAGGAAAAACTGTATGAAACAGTAATTATTTGTCGTAGAAAAACAGAAATAAAATGAAGTAATGAAATGCTTTGATTAAGTTCGAAGAGAAACCTATCTACTCTTAGTCAAGTAATCATAGATGATGTAGAAGAAGACAAGAATTTGTAGATATATTTAAATGTCTGCACTTCACATAACCTTAATGGTGAGATGGAAAATTAATGAGATAAAAAAACAAAAAGATTATTAAGTACTATTAGATGCAAAGGGAAGCTAAACATGAGAAATGTAATTTGGTAAGAGTTATCAATGAAACAATTCAAGATTAAGAGGGAACCTAGAAATTAAATGCAACTATCTCTCTACCACCAAATTTGCGTTTCAGATAAAAGATTAAACTCGAAAAAAAAAGAAATAATTCCTGATTTTAACAATGCAAAACACAAAAGGCAGTCTCAATGATTAACGTTTAGAAACGCATATAAATATATGTTTATACCTCATTTCCACAAGTATGAATTTATTACTACTATTATTATTATTATTATTATATGAAGAATATTGAATGATGCATATTCGGTTAAAGAGGAAAATTATCATATGAATTTCTGTAAACTGATCTAAACTGTGTTTTAAATGTATAAGCACTCTAATGAGAATGAAGTTCGATCCAAATGTAATATACGATGGTAATTGGTGATTTTTATGAAAACTGATAAAAATTATTAAGCAACAATAATTGGCTCAAGTATTAAATATCATAACTTCATGTAGTAAAAAAATTGGTTATCCATTTCTGGAAGGATTAACCAATTACATTATTTACCAGGTAGTACAAACTTATGTACTTAACTTTTATTTGTAGTTTTAATACTAGTGATTCTACTGATTCGCTCAAAATTAAAAAAACTCGGAATATTTGAAAATCAAATTTCTTTCACGTAAATACAGAAACATGAGAAAAACACAAACGATGTGGATAAACAACAAACGAAAATTATATTCAAGTAATTAATTCATATGAAATTGTAAATTTAAAGAATAGAAAAAATAAGCAGAAACAATCTATTATGTGAAAATTGAGTCAATATAACACAAAAGCAATTAAGATAATAAGTATCGATAACCTCCTCATGAATATGGAATTTAAAGGAAACAAAGCTGCTGAAATCTTAAATAAACGAATTTCAAAATCATTGGATAAAACTTTCTACACAGTCAAGCTCCCAATTGTTTTCTCAAGCCAGCCTACCATTCCTGGATGTGTTAAAGATAAATTTTCGCTTTGTGCTACATCAATGTGTATTTATAAATTTACGTGGTGCTCGTTACATAGGCCGAACAAAGCGATCTTTCTCCAAACGCATCTCAGAACAATATCCGGCTTGGCCTTTAAAAGTAGAATGTAAGACAATCACTAGTTCTACACAGGAGCATTTAATCAATTTTGGACACATCGCTCCCAAGTATTCTTCTTTTAAAGTGATCTACAGAGTCAAAGGAATTGGATCGAAGGGGTGTCGAATCAATATTTTATGCACTGCTGAGATACTGGCAATTCACGAACTCAAGCCCGAACTTTACGTGCAGAAACGATCTGTCCAACCTCTCATTCTTCCTTGACCCTAATTCCCTCGTGAAAAATTTATAACCGAATCTTCATTAAAGATGATGACTGAAATGCTCGTTTCAGAAAAAATATGGTCAGGTTGTAATCAACATGGAATATTAGTCAAAAATCAACAAAGTTTATGAATAATTGAACGCACTTTGCCTGGAACTGAACGAACCATTTTAATAATCAAAATGTACCATGTTAAATGAGTTGAAATGATTGTGAAAACTATAACTACAATATGTAGAATATAAATGTACGCAATAGTAATAATAAACTATAAATTTAATAAAAGCCATACAAATGATAGTCAGTTTTCTAGTGATTATTGGACTTACCATCAACTAGAAGGTGATAAGTTATAAGATCATATCGTTCGGTCTTTAACTTTGTATCCAACAGACCGCATCGATAGAACCCTTGATCCTCAAAATTAAAATTTCGTATTAATAATTTAGTATGACTAGTCACAGTGGGCTGCACCAACCTGTATTTATCTATTTTGGAATAACGCAGGGAATAAAAACAAAATAAAAACAAAACAAATGAATGAAACAAAGTTTGAAAATCAAGCTTATTTTACCTTTGGTTTTAAACAAACAATGTTAGGAATAGAAAATACATGTGATAGACCTTATATCATAAGTAACACTGTAAGATACTGATCTATATTAGATTAATAAATACTACACAATAACTAACCTAAATTGAACGTAATCATGGTGCAAAGGTGTTTTGTTACGAAGGGAATAACGGAATAATGTATTAAATAACATTCTTAAACGACAATGTATGGGCTCTTTCAAAGAATATGATACTACTTACAGATCATTATCAGTGACCAGAAAAAGTTTTGGGTCTCCAAAAGAGCTTCTTTTTACAAAATCTCAAGTTAAAAATAAGAAAACTTACCACATTGGTTTTATATAATTTAGTTCAGTAGAAAATCTTACACGAAGCACCCACAAACGAATGGTTGATTCGTCACATTGTGAGTAACGAAAGATCTGTCAATGATCTACATATAGATAACAATGCCGATCAGTCAGCATGAAGACAGGAGACGGTTAAGTATAACGAATAGCAAGTAAGATTCAGGTGATGCGAAATCACCGAAATTGTGTTCCAGAAACGAATGATAGTGGTCCTGTAATTTAGGTATTCTTGTTTCGAAATGATAAACATGGAATGACAAACACGTAGGCAAATATAATCGTTAGCGCAATAGTGGTTAAGCTCAGAAGTGAACTTCCATATGTTCCAATGAAAAGCTGTGACATCTGAAATATACTAAACCGGCAGTAAATCGGTAATTACCCAACTACGCTGAACAAGAATCAGGCTATAACACAAACTCGCTTAAGTTGAAATTGTGGACCAATGAATCTCGACAAAGTGATTTAGTGATATCATGAACATCACGTGAGACTCAATGGACTTTGGTTTAATTATAACCTTCGAGTTTACAACACCTTTTCCGACAATGTCAGTCTGTAATGAAAAAGGCAATCATAAAATTATACGTATCTACACAAAATATTGAGGTAAAAAACCAAGGTATATTTATAGTCAGGAAAACAAGTCTTCTAAAAAGTAAGAAATTCACTCAGTTATTAAATATGAGTATAATTACATTACATTTCCTTAGATGATGCTTTCTCATATGCCATTTTCGTAAAATGGGATAATTTGAAATCCATTTTTAGCATGTTACATCGTGTCGGCATGTACACACCAACAATATTAGGAAACAATGTATTGTACTCATATCTAATCCTTTGATATAGAAATCCTACAAATGAGCACACTGAAAAATAAGATCTCATAAACAATGTTGCATATATTACTCAAAATATTTGGAATGTACATGTTATTAGTGAGATATAGATTGGATTAAAGAATGTTCCGTACAGGATTGTGTTAGGGCCTGGTAATTGGCTATTCCTAGACCAATCAGAGCCAGAGGATACTTGAAGAAAACTCTAGAAACTTTTTGTGTAAATTTATAAATATTCTACGTCCTTCTTCCATTCAACTTTGTTTACTTGGAATATAATTACGTTCATGTTTAATCGTGTTTTTATTTGGGGACTTATCGAGTGAAGTAGTGTTCAAGAACACTAAGGAATAAGAGTAGCTGGATCATAATACAAGAGAACACAAAACATGATTTTTATAAAACAAAAAACGGTTGAACTATAAAAAAGACGTCTGATGATAAGATTCCAAGTAATAACATAATCATTACATGCATGACCAGTATTTAAATATACACAAACTTACCAACTGAAGAAACGGCAATCCTTGTGTTGTTAAGAGTAAAAAAGATTTGATCGGATGGATAGATTTTTTCCAAATTACAAGGAAGAATTGCAATATTCCCGAAATAATAAACCAGTTTCTGATGAATAAATGTATTTTCAGCTATTGGATATTAATTTTTTAAAGAAAAAAAACATTTTATTAAAAAAAACGAAACTTTAATAAAAAGTAGAAAAAATAACTAGCGTAGGAAAGTATTTAAGAGAGTGATGATGAGGTTAAGGAATATCCATCATTTTAATTTCTTTAATCGAACAGTTAGTCGGTGATAATCAAAATGGGGACTTGATATTCAAATGTACCATCAAGCCAAATTAATTATTGTAGTCATAAACTAATATCAGTTAGAATAATAGATATAAGTAATATATCCCTTTCCAGTTGTGCAGAGTATACTATAAGCTCATTTCTATCACTATGAATCAAACTGATCTATGTAGTAAAATGATAGAATGTTTTCTAACTAAACATAAACAAAAATTTACGCGACTCTACTACTGCATTATCCACATTAGAAAACAATGGTATGTGAATAGTTGTTTTAGTATCAAGTGAATTACACTGATTACATACTTTTTCACTAATAGAATCCGAATTCATTAGTAGTAATCATGACATTCCATGTAAAATCCACTCACGAACACATACACCCATTATTCAAACAATTAGTTCATACATACTAACAAACACCCAAATATAACCAATACACATTATGTATATAGTGGCCTTTTTATGTCAGAATAATAAAACAGAAACACAATTACGTATCAAGTACAAAGTACATGTGTGTAAAAGTAAATGAAAATACAAGTGTAGAAGAGAATTCTTTTTCTTTTCTACATCATACTACTATTAAGATTAATTCTTATTAAATGTAAAACAGCAAAAAAACAAGACATTAAAATAAACATATTCAAAATACTAATCTTACGAGTATTTTTCCACGGCAAAACCTTGTAAACACAGACATATATATATATGCGCACAATAATGGTCATAATTTAATTTACCATGAAGTTATTTTACCGAAATAATAATATTTTTTATATTAATTATTTGATCAATGTTACAATGTTGATTCAATCAAGTGAACTATTCCATAAATTACAATCATCATTAAAATGATGAGAAGGTAAAATGAATAATGAATTAATTGAAACAAGCATATAATCATATTCAAAATTGAAGAAAAGTGAATTAGTTATTAATTAGCAAATCAATTTGCATATTCTAGTCTCCAGTGTACATAGACATCTATATTGATTTAAGTTTATCAACAACAACAACAACAACGTAAAATGTGAAATTTGTGTCAGGTCAAGTCGCCACTAATTTCACAAATATAAACACAGCTAGAAAGGATTAACAGCAGGTAGAAAACCTAGAAATAAACTGTTAGTAATAATAATAATAGTAATAATAATAATAATAATAATAATAATAATAATAATAATAATAGTGGTACTCGAAGACTAAACATTAAAACAACTCAAAATAAGAATAACACTAAGTCAGTAACCTGATCAGCCATAAACAATGGAGAACCTAGTGAATATGTGTATAGATTAAAGTCACCACGGGAATAACGCTAAAGAATGAAAAAATATACAATAATTGTATGTTGAAGATTCGAAAAGAATATGAAAAATTAATGGATCAGTACAAGTATCGCGGAGACCAATTCTGACTATTTCTATATACTATCTCCATTGGTTAGAATTATGTAAAATTCATTAACACCGTCGGATGCCGGTTCAGTGGTCTAGAGGTTAAGTGTTCGCGCGCGAGACTGAAGGCCTTGGGTTCGAGCCCCGAGAGCGGGATCGTGGATCCGCACTGCTGGAGAGTCCTACAATAGGACTAAACGGCCTTCCAGTGCTTCCAGGTTTTCAATGGTGGTATAAGATCAATCGGTTCACGATCTCAATCAAAAACTTAAAAATCCTCACAACCCTATACTAATGAAATTCATTAATCAGACAGTTAAATATGAAAGTGTAACAGCAAACGTTAAAACAAATCTTTATGAAGAAGATTTAATGAAAAAGAATCTACAGTTAACAAATGTATTAATCACAGGTAGTTAAATTTTTCATGATTAATCCATATAAACAAATCTGATCAAAACATTAAAAAACTGATCAGTTCACCTTTAGTCAATAATACTTACTAACTAATTCTTGATATTTAAAACTCATTCTTTTACATTTTACTGATATTATTATCAAAAATGATAAACTGCCCAAAAATGTAGACAGAATATTTGTCCAACAGTTTCACTGATTGAAAATGTAATGGGAAGAATTTTTTTGTCAATTGAATATTTATCCAGTGCTTCCACGTTTTCCATGGTGGTCTAGCTACAATCGACTCATGATCACAACTATTAAAATTACTACAATCTCCACAAAACCCCTTCTGATACTAAATATTTATCTACCTATAGCACTGAAATTACTAAATAAATCATAACACTGGTTATAAATAATCCTACAGAGAAAATATCAAATTAATTGATATCAAGTACAAATCATTTTGAAAATATATACATTATATCATCATCTGCTTCGGTTTGGGCACCCGGATAGTATCACAACCCTCACAAAAATTTGATGAGATGACAAATATTTCACAAAATACATATTCACCCTAGGACTTAAATATTACAGAAATTTTCAAAGAAATTATAACGTTTAAACACTTTTTTTTCGCTAAGAAAACTTATTATTACTAAACGAAATAAATTACTGAAAACCATTACCAGTATTATTATTATTATTCGAAATAATAATATATTCTAGTGTTTATTCATTGTTTAAACATGAAGTACATAATAGATAGTGGATAAATTACTGAATAATAAATATATAGATTTCTGAAGCGTATTAAAAATGTCTAATTGTTTTACACAATATAACGTTCCATCTTATTCTGTAGTTATGTACTATTCTGAATCAATATTTGTTCTTGCTTTATTTAAATTCATAAAGGGAACTAATTGCATGAAGTTATGTAACAATCAAGTTAGACTTATTCACATATCATTTTAGATAACTTGATTAAATACAAAGTATAGAATAAGTTAACATTAGTAAAACTAGTTATATAATACTATAACTATCTGTGTATCACACTTTATTAAAATTCTAATCGAATATTTAAAAAACAAGAAATTAACTCACATTTTAATGCTATTTGAAATGGTTTACTTATAATTGAACCAAAATCAGTACTGGCCAAACAATAAAATTTTTCACCTGAAAACAATTCAACACTAGTAACACTTGAAAAACAAAGACAATCCTTTGATTTCAATGTTTTAACATTATTATTATTATTATGATTGAATAAATGGAGATCACATGTAAAATTAGAAGGCACATGATAAATAGTTCTCTGATGAACAATCTTATCTGTTGTTGTTGTGAATGGTTGATTAGAAGTATTATCAGATAATTGATGAAAATGATACGTTGAATAATAGGCTAAACTTCCTATAGGCCATTTCGGCCAAATATCACAACAAATCTTCAAAATCTTGTTGATAGGATCATTTGTCGCATAATAAACAACTGATTCAGGAACCGATTGGAATTCAGGTAAAACTGTTAAAATGAAAGAAAAGTGAAATCAATCAATTAATTAAGAATTTTGAAAAGAGTAGATCAACAAACTACACAAAAATGTTATATTAAACGGTTATTTGATAACAGTATTTGAAATAATGAAATTCTACTTGTTATTATGATACAATAAAACTATACAGCACAACACTATTAAAATTCGATGATAGGTTTCGTCAAGAATTGTAACAGAGACTATAGAATTGCTAATACTACGATTTTATCCAACAAGACACTTTCAAGTATGTTTATTTCATGGTATTTCGTTTATTAATTGGTAAAACATAAGATAACATAGTCAAAGGTAGTGATAGTAACAACAACTCTAACCCCCATTTAATTACAAATCAACTGTAACAAACATTTTGAGTTATCATTGACATTATGAAACTTAACGCAAACCGCTCAAAGTTGAACTAGAAATGTTCAGAAATAATTAACAATTATCACCTCACTATATAATAAAACTAATCGATTCATGTTGTTAGGGTAAACATATACATACGTCCATATGATATCACAAGTGAAAAATTTAACCAAGCAGTGAGTCAGATATGAGAGAGCGTATGCAAAGGAGAAACAGGAAGAAAACAGATAGGCATAATAAAATGGTAATTTAGAAAAAATGGGCAGTTATAGTTGTCATTGGTTAGTATATTATTATTATTATTATTATTATTATTATTATTATTATTATTATTGGAACAAAGGCATATCTACATCCCACAGAAGTACATTTAATAATAAATAAGCTGTAAACTATAGAAAGCGTTAAGCGCATTTATGAATACAGACACACACAAAAACATAAATGCAGACACATAAAAACATCCTAGAGCCTATATACAGACAAAAAAAACGATAAATAAGAAGAGAATGAGAGCGAGAGAGAAAAACTACTGAAAAGGAAAAATACAAAAAGTTGAAAAACAAAATCGACCGGAATTTCTCCTATTTTGTTTTCCTTTGGTGAACAATCAGTAGAATATATAAATTTATGCTAAACATGACTCTAGGAAATGATAAAAAAGTGAAATTTACAGCTGAAATTAATTAAAGTAACCCATTGTATCATTGAATGAAATGAAGAGAATGTAGTGAAAAATTTTTCCTTTCAAACGAAATCATTTAATTAAACTGTACATTCGTATGGTAAGTATATATCTGCAGAGATATAGGAAGTTATAAAACATCTTAATTTGTATAGTGATATCTTAATTGTTGTTGGGAAATACCAAAACTAAAATACTACAAATAATCAGTCACTTACATCGTAGGACCAGGCACATATATGCATGCGTCCAAGTCACGATACTTCATTATCACAACAACATGAACATCAAAATCATAGAAGCAGTTACTTCAATTGTAGTAATATATAAAGAAGATTGCATAAAGGATTTGATACAGGGAGAAAAAATTAGTCCATAGAAATAAAAGTATAGAGTAACTTAAATCCCATAGTTTGAGAGAAAACAAAGAGTGTATACACTGTTATATCCTAGTAAAAATTAGATTATAGGTAACTTCTGAGAACTATTAAAGGACTAATATCATATATATCTTTATGTATAACTATTCAGTAACTAGATTGTGTATATTTATATTCCTCTAATTATAAGCTTTATTTTAACGTCCCACGTTCACAACCACTTTTTGGCTTGAACTTGTAAAAATGTTATTTCCTATTTTATGGTGTGATGTGGTCTGTTTGGCCTGTATATAAACCAGGTATGTATGAAATAAATGATTCACATAGTGGAAGTTGGTATTGGTGTTCTGAACTCAAATGGCAGGGCTAGCAGGACAAACAACCAATAAGGATGCCAGGCTGCTGATACTGGTCGAGCGTCATTGGTTTGGCACAGTGCAAAGATTGGCGAATAAGTCACGTGATAATTAGCCGGGCTTGAAGTCACAACAAACACCTAAGCCATTGTGATCGATTCTCAACCATGTCACGCGAACCCCAACCAAGTAGTCCACTTCTATCAACATGGCTCACACCACAAGTTAGTGACTTTGTGGATTGATGTCACGTTCTGGTTTGGTCGCCCCCAACTTCCTTCCATCCGTTTCCAACACTAGTCAGCATTGCGCATCGTAGTGGTCGGTGTTCAGGCATACGTAACACGTGGCCCAACCATCTCAGTCGATGAAGATTCACAACCTCATCAACTACTTTACCATCATTCCCTAATATCCTGCGTCTAACCTCCCATTTACTTACCCAGTGATCCCAGTAGATGCGAGCAATATTTATAAGGCATCTGCGGTCAAACTCTAGTAACTTACGAGTATCTTCTACCCTTGATGGCCACGTTTCGCAGCCGTAAAGTAGAGCAGAACGAACTGCCGCGTAGTATACTAATCCATTAATTGATAGACGGATATCCCGCCTTCGCCATAGGTGGTGATATAAGACGGCAAGAACCAAACGAGCTTTCTGAATCCATGCTGAGATTTCGTCGGACACCAACCCATTAGGGCTGGTCAGACTTCCTATCCTTAGTTCAGGTGTTGACGCATACCAGTCCTAAAGCAACAATTCGCACCTAGAGAAGGAGTAACGCATCCAAAACATCCTGCCACTGTTGCTCAGTGCTACCAGAAGACTCTGCATTTTATCAGTCTTCATCAAACAGGACTATATCGTCTGCGTATTCTAAGTCCATAAGTGAACCTCCTGGTAGGAGATCAGTGCCCGAAAATCCATCCGACGAAAGCGTTATTTCCAGCAGTAGGTCTATGATGAAATCGAACAAAAATGCAGATAGTGGACAGCCTAGCTGGACACCACTTGAGGTTGCAAAAGCAGATGACAGTTCGCCATAAGCTCTCACTCGACTAGTAGTGTTCGAGTTAAGAGTCTCCATAAGGTTTATGTACTTCTGAGGTACACATTTCAATAACAGAAACTGCCACAGAACCTCTCGGTCTACAGAGTCAAATGCTGTTTTTAAGTCGATAAGCATGCCTGTGTTCTATAACCTGACGAATAGTGAATATGTGGACGATGCAGCCACGACCAGGTCTGAAGCCAGCCTGATTTTCTCGTGTTTGCAGTTCACGAGTTTTTGTTAGGCGCGCGATAATTATTGAGGCTAGTATTTAAGACGCTATATTAGTTGGAACAATCCACCTATGGTTAACACAGGATTTTGATCCTTTCTTATATGAGAGAACAAATAGCTTACAGTGATCGAAAATTAAATGCCAAATATGTCCGGATCGCCCATATTTTAATAATCTTACTAAGAGAGAACACTACACCTTACTGTGCTTACTTACTTACGCCTGTTACCCCTCGTGGAGGAGCGTTCTCCATCCAACTCTGTCCTCAGCAATTTTTTCCAGTTGCTATTCATCAGTAGTGTGTTCTTCGGCCTTCCTCCTTTCCGTTCCCCTTTACGATTCTAAGTTAGCGCTTGCCTCGTGATGCAGTTTGGTGATTTCCGTAGTGTATGTCCTATCCACTCCCAGAGTACTTTCCTAATTTCCTCTTCAGATGGAAGTTGATTTTTTCTCTCCCACAGTAGGCTGTTACTGATGATATCCAGCCAATGGAGGTTAAGTATCTTGCGTAGGCAACCATTTATAAATACTTGTACCTTCTTGTTGATGGTTGTGGAAGTTCTCCAAGTTTCACTTCCGTACAGTAGAACTGCCTTGACGTTCGTATTGAAGATGCTGACTTTGATATTGGTTGAAAGTTGTATTGAGTTCTATATGTTCTCCAACTATGGGAATGCGGCCCTTGCTTTGCCAATCCTCGCCTTTAAGTCTGCACCAAATCCTCCACACTCATCGATGATGCTGCCCAGGTACGTGAACGTTTCTACCTGTTCCAGAGTTTCTCTATCAAATGTGATTGGGTTGGTGTTCCCCGTGTTGAATTTGAGGACCTTCTACACTTTACCGTGGGGGAGGGATATGTCGGTAAATTGAGGTTATGAATATACAATTCTACAAATAAATTTCAGACTAGTCTCGCTGTAGGTCTATATTTACTGGAAGAAAAATAACCGGACATGGAAAATAGCAATTAAACTAGGGTGTGGAATTTCTTTCAGAATTATTTATTAACAGTTGCTCTAGAGATTCAACCCAAATACTTAGAACTTACGAATTTGAGTAATGACTTCTTTAAAGGCAATCAATAGTTTGTTAACATGATGAATCAGAACATATATAAGCAAAAAATTATCTTTAATTAGATTTTGTCTCTTGTATACGACAGAGGCTATAGGGATTCGATAAAACAATCCAATGTCTTGTGTTTATTGGTCGAATTGGCCTTAACGAACGATTTTCTGTGCTCTTTAACCATTTATTTTCCTTCACCCACTTTTTAAACATACGCTTTACCGCCTTATTATTTGAACAATTCTAATTACGCAATTTTGATAATTTTCAAGTATTCTGTTTCAGCGTCTACAATTTTAAGTCACTGATCTACTTCCTATTATGAAATACTGATTCAAACTTTTACTATTCTTATCACAACTACTACAATAGTCATCACTATTAACTTGTAATTTTTACTTATTTATTTACGTAATCTATTCTACTGTTATCACTGACCCATAAACCTCCTTGATTAAATTAATATTTTCGGACATGTATATAAATATTACTGAATATTAGAGTAAACCCTGATAAGGATCTAATTGAAGGAACAATGTTCGCTTAGATATGTTGTTCTAATTCACAATATAGGAATTTCTAGTATTTTAAAGTTTATTAATATACCATAAAGAGCTATTTCACGATATAGTTTTGCCTAACACCCTGTTGTATAACTGTCACGATGGAAAAATGACTAATTACTACTTAATACTTTGAAGCAGTCTCATCGGTACATAAAACATTTGGCTACTATCCAGGTCTCGAATTCAAACTAATTTTAGATGGGTAACTAAGTAGTATCACTAGTCCTCAATCCAAAAAGTAACTCGAAGCCGAGTATATAAACTTGTACCTAGCTACTAAGTTTGAATAGGAAATAGTCCAGCAGTTAATTTAATAAAAGGAAACTAGGTTTTTGATATGAAGATACGATAAAATAAGATCGGCTGTGAAAGACAATGAAAAATTAAAATTAATACGCCTTCAGATTACGACTGAATACTTGTAGCGATAAATTGAAATTATGAACAATAAACTACAAAATGTTAAGCGATCTTAGAGAGGACTACGATACCCTAAAAATAAACCAAAATTAGATGAAATGGTTAAGATTTAGTAAACGTTAGTTGCTATTAACAGACACTGGTAGCATCAACTAATACCAACATTTTAATTAAGTGACGGTTCAGTGATCACAATACGACTTTTAACCAGTAACTAGCATATGGGAATCCGGTTTTATCTACTTCCATGTTGAACAGTTGGATATTATTACCAGCTCTAAATTTTTGTTCAAAATCATATAGATGAAACTTGTTTGACAAATAATTAATTTAGAATCATCACTTTATTGAATTATTTACATAAATCACCTACAACCTTGATGTATTTTTCATTCGGTTGAGTAATTATGTGGTTAGTGTGTAGTATAAATAATATCTTCCCTTTTGGAGTATGACAAAGTCTATATTCTTGTTGGTTAGTTGAATACCAACGATTTCTTGCTTTCTCATTCATTTGACTTGAAGAGGGAAAAGATCATTTATACCCCTCAATGTAATTACTATTGGCATCTAGTATGACAAATAGCTTTGGTTTTATATGAGTTTAATTTAAACCGCTGGTTTCATTCATGTTAGTTACTGACGAAAACCATTTCGAAACAAATGAGACGATGAGTTTAATGATAGTTTGATTGTGATATTTTAATACTGAAAATGAACAAGTCGCAGTTTGTGTATTTAAAAGTAAGCAGTTGAAATAAGTAAAAAAAAGTGATGACCAACTGAAAGGACTAAATGAAACAATATAGTTTGAACCTACTAACTTATTTAGTCCACTTGGAGTTCGCAGAGTTAACGATGCTTAGAAAGACAGAACGACTGTCCGTATAATCATAATTATACCATCCAGTCTGATTAAACGAATCCCTTTTCTAAGTACGAAAGTATGAAATTCAATAAATACTGCTAAGTTACACAACATAAAACTTATTGGGACCAAATACTACCCAAGGGTTATCTAACATCCAGATAATTTACTACTTTGGGTAAATAGAACAAATTTAGTTTTGTTGAGATGGAACTTACTAATTACGACTATAATTAACACCACAAATCCGACTAAAACTACCTAATACATACGTCCTGACTCGATTTTCAGGGAAAAATAAGATAAACCCCCCTAAGAGGAGAGTGGCTTTCTGAGAAAACCATCTGCTTCGATTTGAGCGTAACATCAGTATTCCAGATCTCACACAAATTGTTTGACGAAGTGTGGTGCACATATATTTGGTTTCTCTTCGTACCAGTGTGTTTAAATAATACACTAACTTACCAAAAGTTCCGCACACACTCGAAGACAAAATCATAATCCAAAAGCCAATCATGGAAATGAAGTTAACATTCGGAGCAGTAGTAGTGGTGGCCATAACACCTGACCTTCGGAAAAGTAAAAAGGTAGCAAGGAAGAAAGCATACTTTATTGATCGTAAAAACTGAAACTACAATACATATATGGTAAATAGGTTTGTTTGGCCAAGACACTGAAATTTATTCTCGTGTGTTGGCTGAAGCTTCCCTTTAGAACAAGATAGGTGAAGCAACCAAAAACGCGACAAAATTTTCTGTGAAAACAATCTGGTAAATAACTGCTTTGGGTTTTACGAGCCTACGCCTACCCAGATGTTTACAAAAATAACCAGTACGTGTTAATTGACTACAGTACACTTTAATAGTTCAGTTCACTAGTGGTTTAACCGACTGAATCAATATCTACAGTAGTTGGTTACTTTTATGGTGCACTAGGACCACGAAATTCTACTTTTTACAAGTTTTTTAAAATAACAAAGAGAAAGCAGTGTTCCCTAAATTGTGAGATTATCTTTCAATAAAATACAATCTACAACACCGGTTAGATTTCTATTTGAATGTACAAATATTATAACGCCATTTCGGGATCGTGAAACTGCTATTGCACCAAAACACACCATACAGAACCTTGGTATCACTTATGCTGGTGTAGGAGTGATCAAAGAAGCTAGGAACAGCTACAAAAATACATGAAACCACCAAGCGAAGTTTTCAGTGTTTCTTTCGCTAAATGTTTTACTTCTTCCTGACTGCATTAATTTTGAGTCAATTCTAAGTCACTTCAAAAGTTAACACTGCATTCACTGCTTTGTATGATTATTTCTGTAAGTATAATCAGACGGAATTAGGTAACTGCAAACACTGCAGTAACGCTACTACATTTACTTCTCAGTTATAATCTTTATAGGCTCCGAAATGCGATGGTAATTTCTGAAGCGTGTGATATGCACCGTGATATATAATTGTGCTTAAGTCGATATGCTTGTGGCAGGGCAATAATACTTTTCACGTAAGAAGGTGAACATGAACAGCCTCTTATAGGGATCAGAAGAGCACGTAAAGAGGATCACCCACAAACAGAAATGGAACAAATGTTATTAAAAGACACATATCGTGACATTCAACCCCAGACAAGACAATCTGTGACATTACAATTGCAAACTTTGATTGAAAAACACCGCAGATTAACGTATAGAGACATATATCTTAAAGTGATACATCCAACTTATCTACCATCGGAAGTTAGACATCCAGTTTAGATAAAGGTTGACAATAAATGAAGAGCTCTACAGAATGCCTAACAACACTCTTCTACAAGAAATACTTCACAATCACATTTTAATCTAAGGTTACTACATGATGGTTCGAAATAAAAGTAGTTTTCAGAAAATGCCTTATAATGGTCCAAAAGCTGTTTTGTTGCATACACCACATGCGAAGCAACCGAAAAAGTTATAATAATTGTATGTACAATCGAGATCTGCCGGTAACGTATGCATGATCAACATTAATCAATTGATATAGCTCACCTTGTCCCTTTTGGTTACTTACCAGTTGAAAACACTTAGAGGTGAACGTCTGTGTCTGTATAAAGTTAACTGATCGTTAGAAGATCATGTTGAGAAACCGTACAACCCTCATCAACACGCTTCTACGGTAAGCCCAGACAGCACATCTGAACAAAAACGTTTGAAGCAGGCGGTAACTATAACCTTGTACACTTGAAATTCAAACGTTGGTTAAAAAAAAAATCACCAAATTGTTTGTTCCATGAAATATGTATCCGGGTATTGGAAGTGCACTTTTGGTTACAAAACGTCACATTTATTTTATATTTGCTTCACATATTATGGGTGGTGATTGCGGAGCTGGTTCCGTAGTGTGACTGAGCCGTAACCACACGATCTTTGAAACCGAGAATATAATTACTAAAAAGACTTATATTCAATAATTGACACAAAGAGACGGTTAACAATGGAGAACGTGGGAACTTTCAATAGAATTCAATTGGGTGGCATGAATCAACTTTGCAGGCATGGTCACCCTTGTGTAACTCATCACTTTTATTCGTATTAAAATTATTGTTCTGTCTCCAGTCCCAATTTTTTCTCCATCATATATTGGTGATTGTTAGATACGATGAGTCAGTGTAGACAATGATATGACTTCCACGTAAGATCTTATAGATTAACTTGTCACATAACAAATATACAATTTTAGGTTTAGGTCTATTATTGGAGCAGTACTAACAACGAAGTAGGCCACAATTCTACAATTCTGCTGCTCAGAAACTGACAGTAATGAAAGCAACATGATGCGATTTAGACGGATACGTTTCACATAGTATGTTTACCAGTGATGCTTCGGAATCTTTCGAGACTTTAAAAATGGCTATTCTTAAACGTGGAGATTTTACCGACCGACAAAGGTTAGGTCAACTCTACAGTAATATCGGTCTACAACATAGTTCAGCAACATACGCGTTTCTACGAATGCAAGAATTCATTTGTCAACGAACATTTGACGAGATGCTGTTTAGACAGATCTTCTTGTCTAAGCTTCCTTACCAGATGCAGGAGGTTCTTAACTCAATTCAAAACAACCCTATAGACGAAATGTAAGCATCTGCCGACCAAATTCTGGAGCGCACCAGAAATCCCAGCACCGAAATCTATTCAGCTAAATAAAAGCCTTGAATGAAACGAGGCGATTTCACATTACTTCATTACACTCTGAAACGGTACCTTAGTATTCGTCACGACCATGGACGCCCCCAAAAACTCAGAGTTTTTGACGAAACCGATCTGTCTCTAGATCACGAAAGAACGATAATCACGATTAGTTCTGGTACCATAATGAATACGGGAAATCCTCTCGAAAATGTAGAAAACCCTGCAGTATTTCGAGCTCCAAACCATCCAACGTTTCGTGAGACTTCTCAGTCGACACGCATTAACGACAACCGTAGCCGGCGAGCATATTTGTTTATTATGCGTCAACGGTGTGAAAACGAACGTTCGTTTCTTCATCAAAACTGGCGCAGAAGTCTTGCAGATTCTAACGATCAACTGCACGACGAAGATTTCAACTTACAGGCGCTAAATAGGAAACCGACCGCCATATATGATGAGTGATATAGTGTACATTATCGTGGGTTTACACAAGCCCGTCAACTGGACCTTCGTTGTTGCAGATGTTTCTATGCTAGTCATTGGCATAAACCTGCAACAACATCATAATCTACTCGTCGACATGCGCAAACGCAAGTTAGAAAATAGAAACACTAAATCATCTGTTTGTGAAACTTATTCCGGTTGTAGATTATCCCCAGTTACAGTAACGGACAGAATAGATCCATACTACCAGCAATTACTCGATAAGTACCCTGAGATATAACAAAGGCAACCAAAATTGTCATATGTAAGCACCAATTTTGCACATCACATCACGACTACATGATCACCCATATCCTTGATGGTTCTAAGGTCGGCCCGAAACCAATTTATGCCCGTGACCTAGGAGTCATTCGGCAGTCGGACAACTCATGGGCATTCCCCTTGTACATTGTCCCTAAAAATAACAGCAATGATCGGCGTCCAGGTGGTGACTATTGTCGATTACATGCGAAAACCACTCATGATCATTACCCGTTGCCTCACATTCACGATCCGAAAGCTACTTCGAAAGGTATAACTGTTTTTTATCGAAAAGCGTACAGACAAATTCCCATGGCTGCTGGCGACATTACTAAGATCACTATCAACACCTCATTAGACCACAAATTTTCACGTATGATTTTCGTCTTAACAAATGCTGCTTTGATTGCAAGTTCAGACAGAGAATCTCATCCCCGGCATCTAGATCATGTCTTCAAACAACTGCAAAAACACGGTATTACTGTTGTTATGTCTAGAATTGCGCATAACTTGGGCACTTGGACGCTAGAACCCTCCCAAGTCGCAAACAATAAGACGGAAACGAATACTATTCCAAATAGTGTCAAGTATAGTACGAAATTGTCAGGTATTTATAGTTTTTGGTAAAAATGAAATCAGCATTATGGTCCTTCAATCAACGTACAGGGGGTTATTAGCATTTTTCCAATAGGGAAGCTACACTTGGGGATTCCGGAACATTCTTCCGAAAGATGATTGAACGGAATACTTTCGACTTTTTCTGCACTTCTTGAAGCTTACTCGAGTTCACCCGTGGACTGACCTCACACTTCCCCTCTCTAAAGTCTGTTGCATACGACATTTTCCTCGAGCCCACCTGAAACTTGGTTACCACATTTCTCTTGAGGTTCATCACTCTTGAGTGGTTTGTCGCTTTGCCCTTGCATCTTTTATCTCCTCTACATTTACTCTCCTTAGAGCTTTTTCGAGACGAATCCACGATAAATTGAAGCGGAATTCGGCTTTATGTGGTTGATGTTCTGCCATCTCATTGAATTTGATTTATGTGTAATAGCTTAGGTTGAATGGCTAAAAGCTGACTTCAAACAATTAAATATATGTCGAAACAATAGAGTTCAAGTATTCATTCACTTTCCTATTTTGTATAGGCATTATATTTCCTATTATCTTATATTGAATGTTGAGAAGCTTTGTTTGTCTGAACAGGGAATCTTACGCTCCGCTGTGACTGTGCGTAGATCTAAATGTTTTATTTGTCTTACCCTAAAATATTTTTTTCTGCAACTCTATATTCTCTCACATCCTTTGATTTGCTATTGTTCCTTACTTCTTTGAACCATTTGTTATCTTTATAGCAGTGTAATATACTGTGTGGACATCTAACCCATAAAAGACTTTTCAACCATCTCATTTGCTTGTGACATGGACCTAGTAGTGACAGTGTATTCCAACTATGGGCTTAGATTAAAGCAGTATTCATACTTACCACAAACGTAAGAGAGCCTAACATTGCAAAAGGAGGGAGGGTGGCGTTACTGACCAGCAAACATGATGGTGGGGAGATAACTTCAATCCACCCATGTTTGTAGGGCAGAACATTTTGTTTAATTACGGCTCCTTATAGTTTAGTGGGATGTCACGAACTTATGGTATAGAAGCTGATTTATCACGCAAAATACCTCTTTAAGTCGTGTTACGAACGTTGAATTGGTTTCACTTCCTACCCAGAAATCCTATTACTAGCAAACTAGACAATTCGCTAATATACGAAGCCTACTCAAGACCCTATAATAACTGGTGGGATATTTTTTAAAAAACGAAAGGGGCTCTAATAGCTTCGATAATAAAGGGAAGACAGCCAATTGTATATCACAATACTGTTTCTAGTACCATATTTTATTTTATAATCACACGTAATCTTATACTCTCAGCTCTTTTCCGAATCGCCCCCAATTGTCAGTTGCATGTCCACTCACACCTTGTCAACATTTATTTTCTTTAACCTATTAAAATGCTCTTTCTTAACATATACCTTAAAGGAAAATTAGACTGAGTAATCATACCTTAAACATTCCTTCATGAATATTGGCTACTCTGCCTCTGGTGTTTTCTTTTACTTGCTCCCTCTTTCAGCCCCCTTGAGATATGGAACTGGTGACTTCATCCTGCACCATCCTTAAAGCCTTGGATATCCCAAAGGGACATAAGGTTGCGATTTCTAAAAGCTCATACCTTCAATGGGCCTATCCTTGACCATCAGTCGCACATTCGCAACGCAACTTTCATGAAGCGCGCCAACTGTGGTACTGATTAAAACCATCTACATTCATATCTTATAAATTATCAACCCAGCTATGTAATTTACTACAGTGGATATTGTATCATTTGTATCAATTTGACCTTGCCTGTAAACTGGCATGCCTCATGTAACAAACTGTTATTTGAGAATAAATTATTATTATTATTATTATTATTAAATAAAGACCTATTCACTACTAGTTCGGTTTCTTCTATCAATGGCACGAGACTAGTGAGCTGTGTTGAATACAAATTTGACCTCATTTTTATTATTAATATCATTTTTTTACTTGGTCGTAAAACTATACCTTCTGATTATTCTGAAACAAAGTTTGTTATATATATATATATATATATATATATATATATATATATATATTTACACATAATTTTTTCGTCTTAAAGTATTCGCGTCGTGACGATCATTTTTTCACTCTTATTAAATTACTATTTGATCATATAGCTCATGTCAAACTCAATACAACTCACAATCTGGGTGATTTGTCACCAGTGAAGATAGACACTGTTATGACTGCGAAATCCCGACTTCCATGATTTGAACGTAGTGACCTTGAGTTGTGGTTCACTCAACTGGAGCATTTCATCAGACACAATATCAAATCTGAAGGCATTCGCTACAGAGACTTATGTTCTTTCCTTCCTCCGTCAGTTTCCAAAGAAGTTCGTGACTTGATTTTAAGTCCAACATCACAACCATACACATCTTAAAACGAGTGATAATAAAACGTCTATCACTATCAAGCTGTTTAAGAATCCAAAGGCTTTTTCAAAGAGAACCACTAAGTGATAGGTCGCCGTCACAGTTTTTACGTCACCTCCAAGTCTTAGTGGGTGAAGCAGTCCTAAAACAAGGATGGATACAAGCTCTCCCATGCTACGTCCAACACTGTTTGGATGCACAACATCCTGAAACCTTCTTATCCCATTTAGCGAGTATAGCCGACAAAATAATGGAAGGAGGTCCTACAACT